ATACTATAGATTAGGAAAAATATAAATTTTTTAGAGTAAAAAATAAGATAATAATAAGTCGTCGATAAGTTGAAACGTTATTTTAAATAATGCATGAGAAACTATATGTTATTGCGATAAGTTCGTTTAATAAACACTTTCTTTTTTTTCTTTTAATAGCAAAAAATAAAAAATAAGCACTTTCTGTTTTTAAGAGAATAAACTTATAAATTAAACAAACAAGTCATAAAATAGTTAAAGTGACTTTTCAAATATATGAAGATTAAAAAAAAATGGTAAATTCACTTATTTCACATGTCTTCAATAAATTGTAAAAATAACACAATAACTAGCTAAACAAGTGATAACAATGGTGGAGACAGCAGTAGATAATGAATGTAGTTTTGATGGGGAAGAAAATTAACATAATATATGAATGAGTCTGGTTTTTTTTATCTCTCAAGCAATAAACAAGCATTAATACTGAGACCTGTTTCAAATATAAATTTTTTTCCCATCGTAAATATTTGTACTATTATCTATTAAATTTAAATTAAATTTTCATCTTATCTTATAATATTTTAAAAAATCAAATAAATAGTAAATGTATTTGATATTTTAAAATATAAAAAAATTATCTTATAATTGATTTGTAATTAAAAAAATATAATTATTCGAAAACTTGGTGTGTGCGAAAAAAATGAATCACAGTGGGTTAATAGTTTAGTGGCCCAGTACAGGTCAAATACTTGATTATGGATACATTGATTGAAAATTACAATATTATTTTATCTACAATGATTTAGTATTTTTATATAATTAATAATTTCAAATAAATTAATTTTTGTAATTTTACGATAAAACCAATTTTTGAAAAACTTAAATAAAACAAAATATTTTTTCAATTAGCGTATTTTAATATGAACTTATTTCTCTAATAACAATAATAGATATGATTAATTATTGAATAATCTTTTATAATTAATTCATATATACACTAAACCCCACTTTAGCTAAATAACTAGTTTGCTGGGATATTTTTAATATTGGAAATATAAAAATAAAATTGATTTCAGGAAAGAAAAAGAGAGCATAAATACGTATTTTAAATACAGATAATGATTAATTATATCACTATGCATCACATGTAATACACATGGTATACTTAAAGCTAGACACGAGATACTCAGTCCATATTGTTTTTATCACTATGCATCACATGTAATACACATGGTATACAATAATTGTTACAGCTTTTAAACATATAATTCCACAATGCTAACTATCTAATGTAATCTAACTTAAGAGTAATACTTTCTAATACACTTAATTATTAATTAAAATTTATTAAAAATATAAAATTTATTATAAATTAATATTTTTCTCTCGTACTTTTAAATTTTTAATAAATGATAAAAATATATTAAAAATTGTGTTATTAACATTATTAGGTAACTTCCCGCGATTAATTGTATCACGCATGTAACACGTACGTTTACAATTAGGTACGTGAAATGCAAAATTAGTGAGTCATATAATTCTACTATCCCGATTCAAACAAACACGAGACTCATGTCAAATTTGTTGCAAGTCTCATGGAAATTATTTATTTTCTATCATTTTTTATATGATAAAAATAACATGAATATAAATATAAGTAAAAAAAAATTATAGATAAAATATGATTAACTGTATTTTTTAATTTTCCTTTTGTTTCCTATCTGATTCAATTCAGATTCCATCTAAATCGTGCACTCGAATATAATAAATAAGTTTAATATTAATTTTTTTTTACAAATACTTGAATCTAATATCTTGTTTAACCGATATCAAATCACTTACTTTTAAAGATTTTTTAGATTAATTATATTTTTTAGTTCTTATATTTTGACTTACACATTATTTTAGTTTTTTATAATTTTAACATTATATATATATATCTAATTGTTAAAATTAAAATTAATATTTATGTAATGATAACTATTTTTTATTTTAGTTTTATTGAAATAATTTAGATGTTTTTCGTTGTCAGTACATGTAAATAAATATTACATTACACTTAGTTACGTTACCGACAATTGTTTAAAAGAAATTAAAGTCAATTTTATAAAATTCAAGGAAGCACCATTTGATTATATATAAAAATGTATCACCTAATTATGACTGTTGTGTCTTTCACTATCATGATATAATCACGACATATAATAAATAATAATAACTGGTTTTTGAACAACTGTGAAATAACATTTTTAGGTATATTTTTAAGTTATAGACTAAATACAACAAAAGATAGTAACATTAATTTTTATTATTGATTTTAAATAATTTAAACTATTATTTTAAAAAATACATATCATATTAAAAGAAAAAAATATATATATATGTATATATAAACAAAAAAATATTATTTTATATATTTGAAATTAGTCCTATATATCTACACACAGAGTATTAATTTTTAACAGTAAAATATCAATTCAAGAATAAATTTTACTGAATGGTACGAAGTCTTGACAAAACTTATCTAGTTTTCACCTGATTTATATTTTCTATTAAATATCTGAATCGTGCTTTTAGTATTAATTAGTAATTTTTTCGAGTATGATTATTATTAACTTAAATTAAATTTTATAAATAAATAATCAAAATTATATTATATGACAACTGTAAAATTTAATGATTTTAAAAAACATTATAATTATTAATGATAAAAAATAATGTTAGAAATTTAAAATATTTTTAAGAAATCTTAAAATTTAAATTAATATTTAATTAAAAATTAAATACACAATCTAAAATATTCCCATGATACGATAAAAAAATTTCTAAAAATGCTCTTATTTATAAATTAGTATTTACATTTATATATAAATGTTAGTTTTACAGTTAGAGTCCGTTTGTTTAGATTTTTTTTCCTTAATAAAATTACTTGTTTTGTTAAAACAGTCACTTTAAAATTATTATGTGATATTATATTAAATTAATAAAACATTTTATTACAATAATTATATTTTAGTTTTTAAGAAGCTGTTTTAAAGATTTTTAAGATTAATTAAGGGACTAATAAATCATTCTAAATAAAAATTAAATTTTGTGACTGTAGTCAAACACAAATCAAATTATGATTAAATAAAAATTTCTAAAAATTAAATCACCTTTTTATTCAATCTTGAAATTATTTTTTTATTCTTAAATACATTAAGAAAAGTTCTGTAACGCTTTCAAAAGTTAACGAGTTTAGATATTTTCAGTAGGTAAATTAATAGGAAATTAAGATGTGCAAAATTATACTTTATTTAATAAAATATAATTTTTTATTTTTTTTCAAATTTTAAAAACTATTTAATTAATTTTTGTCAAATTGTTAAGTTAAAACCTAAACTTTGTAGAAATAATTTTCAAAACCTATTATCGTCGGCGTAGAAGGTTGAAAACTTTCAATCCTTATTCGTCACGAGTTTGTACCAAAAATGTTGGCAGCATTTACACGACTAAAAGAATTTTGATGAGAAAATTATATTGTGGGTCCCATGCTCATCATAAATTGGTCAACTGCAAAGTTTATGAAAATATAATGGCTTACGTATTCAAAATTTTGTTTTACTGTTTAATTATTAACTAAATTTTTTAAAAATTAAAAGTAAACTTTAACAAAATAAATCTTATAAATATATAAAAATTAAAAACATGTTTAAAATAAATCTAATAACAAAAGTACAAACAACATAGGAAGACAGAGAAAAAGGCAAAATTTAAACATAGTCAGCATGGCATGGTATGTTAAATCATTCTACACCACGCCCCTAATCCCAAGAATCCATTTCCCACACTTTTTGAATCACATGCTTATTTGGAGCATAAAAAATAGTGTTTTTTTTATAATTTCAACCTTTAAAATTAAATTTAAACAGAAAAAATAGTTTTTAATAAAAATACATTTATTACATCAGCTTCTAGATATAATTTATAAGTATTAACTTTTGAATCAAAAGTAATTTTAGAGAATATATTTTTTCATCATGTCAAATATTTTTTCTACATCATATATTTATTTTAACTAAAATTCATTTTAGATTAAATTTTTTATTTGATATAATATTTACTCTTCTTAAAAATAATCACACAATATATTTTTAATTATTTATAGAAAAATATTTTAATTCAATGATACTTGTGCAATGCATAAATGATTGTGATAAATATTTTTAATTTAATATTACTATTATCAGTTACTTAAATTAGGGTTGAGATTAGCATTTTATAAATTACATGTATTTTTAAAATGTCCACAATTATTTAAAACAAAAAAAAATGGCAGAATTAAGTTGATTGATTAAGAAAATTCATAATTTTTGCTAGAGAATTGAATCTTATTACTTGAACGATCCCGCAATAATACAGTGGATCCTATCCCTTAAACTAAAATGTTAATCAATAAAGTAAGAAAATAAGAATATTGCTAAATCCTTTTATAATTTTTCTTAATAACTATCTTCTTCTTAATAAAGTAGATATTTCATAAAAAAATCTATGTATTCATTATCATCTTTAAACATAAAACATATTTAATGATTTCTCTACAAGTAATTAAGAAAATTTGTTGACACCAATTTGATGGGAAAAAAAATACGTGTCAGGATGGATGATTTAAATTAGTTTGAAATTATATTTTTGAGTTGTAAGTATAAAAAACAGAAACAAAAAAGTAAAAGAATAGTATACGGAACTGTTATTGTTAGAAATGGAAGGAAACAGCCAAACAGAGACTGCCGCCATAACAAAATTTGCATATATTCAACGCTCAAATTGGGCAATCAAAGCCATTACTGAAGGTGTGCTGTGATGTGAACATATTCTGGTAGCTCATGCTTTTATTTCTCATTATTTTGGGATGAGTGATGGTATTCCGTAACAGTTACGACTACATTCACAATGGTTAAGGTTCGGTGTTTCAATTTTACAAGCTAATATTGCAACTATATAAACTTCAAAACTTGGAAGCGTTTCACGAACTGAATTGAATAGTAGTGGAGACAAAAGAAGAAGAAAGGAAAATTGATGATGGCTTCTTCTTTGAGGATCTCAAGGCTGTTATCTCGTTCTTTCTCTTCTGCTTCCACTACTTCTTTGTTTTCTAGAGGTAGTACCACTTGCTATTTATCACTTCCAAGTTTTGCTTGGTTATTGAGAACGTGTGTAAAATGAAAATGATCTTCAATTTTGTATTTTTTTAAAATTTGGTTTACCGGGTTTTTCAATTGATTTAGACGGTCCAAGTTCCAATTGTGGTGGAGTGGGATCATTTTCTTATGATTTTCATGATGATCTCCAATTTATTTGGAGATGGTTGGATCAGCGGTTATTATTTGGATAGAGATAATGAAAAGCACTTCAAAAAATTATATGATCATTGGCCAAATGGGATATAAAAAAATTGGAGCTTCACCAATATTTTAACTGAAAGTGCTATTTGTGGTGGGTAAGAGGAAGTTGTGTACTCCGTTCTGTTCTTCCATTTATTGATTGGCCCCTCAGTTAGCACCTGTTTCTTTCACTACCTCTACAAGTACATGTTACTTTCCAAGTGCATGTGTAGCAAATTGGAAGCTACTTCCTAGTACAATCTTGATGTTGGAGCACATGCCACATAATCATGCCTTTGATTGGTGTTTGTTTTGGTGCTTTTTAGCCTTACTTTTTTTTTATTATTTGGGGTTTTCGTTAGTGGGTTATTATTTTTAGTAAGATTTTTAGGTCATTGATACTTTTTTTTTTATTTTTTATTTTCAGGTGGGAGTGGTTCTTTGGGCACAGGGCATAAATACAGCACTGCTGCTGCTATTGGAGAACCAATTAAACCACCAGTTAAAGTAGAAAACACTCAGCTCTTAATTGATGGAAAATTCGTTGATGCGGCTTCTGGTTAGTCTTTTTTTTTTGGCCCTCTATTTTTATCCCTATCCACTTCAACATTTGGACATAAAATAAGCATTTTGATTTGTTTATTGAACAATTTTAAGGACAACTTTTAGTTGTCTCCTATATTTTTGTAATGTATTCCTTTAACTGTAGGTGTAAAGAAAAGATAAAAAATAAGTAAATATATTTTTTTAAATGTGATATTATATATAGCGTCAATTTTTAATGGTTGAAATAACTAACTGTTTGGTAGTTATGACTTACTGAGGTGATTCTCTTAACTGCAGGCAAAACTTTTCCAACGTTGGATCCGAGAACAGGAGATGTGATTTCTCGTGTTGCTGAGGGTGACCATGAAGATGTTGATCGAGCAGTTGCAGCTGCACGCAAAGCCTTTGATCATGGACCTTGGCCAAGGATGACAGCCTATGTATTTTTACTCTTCACCTTGTTTTTTAATTCTTCTGGTTGTTGAACCATGTACCAAGTCATGATCTTTTGTCCCATGATTGTTCAACTAAATCCTTGTGTCCTTGTTGTAGGAAAGACAAAGGATATTGTTGCGTGCCGCTGATCTGTTTGAAAAGCATAATGACGAGCTTGCTGCACTAGAGACTTGGGATAATGGCAAGCCATATGAACAATCTGCTCAAATTGAAATTCCAATGCTGGTTCGTCTATTTCGATACTATGCTGGTATGTGGAATTAACTTTCTCATTGTCTTCTTATTGATTGATGAATGAAACTAATACTAAAGGCGTGTCTTGTTCAACTTATTTTGAAGAAATAATGGCTTATTTCTTGCCAGAGGCAACCTTTTGAAAAAATAAGCTATTATTTCTAGACATACACTAACTCGTGTTTTTCTACATTTCTCAGGTTGGGCAGATAAGATTCATGGTCTCACAGTTCCTGCTGATGGGCCACATCATGTGCAAACATTGCACGAACCAATCGGTGTTGCTGGTCAGATCATCCCGTGGAACTTCCCTCTTCTCATGTTTGCTTGGAAGGTTGGGCCAGCATTGGCCTGTGGTAACACTGTTGTTCTTAAAACAGCTGAGCAGACTCCATTATCTGCTTTGTATGTATCCAAGTTACTACATGAGGTGGGTGATATTGCATACATGACTTCGAAAGATTGATTTTAGTCTATTTCTTAACTTGTTCAAATTGCTTAACTTGCCTCATTTTATCATGAGGTGGGTGATATTCCATATCATGTATCCCACTTATAATTGATAGCATCATTATGTTTAATTTGTTTTCAAACCATTCTCCACGCACGGAAATGAACCAATGCTTAGATAACTATTATCTCCTTCTTTTAGTCTGTACATTTTGTGATCACCTTGCTTGTAAATACTCTACGTGGGATACTATGCCAATTTGATAAGTTAATTCCACTTATTTATGTAGTTGTCTGTGCTCTTTTATTTTGTTGGAAAAAATGAGAAGTTATATATATATTTTAATGTTCATGCCAAATTTAACATGCCTGGCAGGCTGGACTTCCTCCCGGTGTTCTGAATGTAATATCTGGCTTTGGTCCAACAGCTGGTGCTGCTATTGCTAGTCACATGGACATAGATAAGGTATCAAGAGATTTAGGGCCTGCTTAGTTTGTGTAAATATTTACTATTTTTATTTCCAGTTTGACTTTTAATTACAAAACTAACACATGCTGAAATTCGGCTTCCTGTTTTCTAGAATTTATATAGAAAATTATGAAAACAGAAAAAATTATTTTCAGTATTTTTTATTCAAATCCTAGAAAACAGGAAATGAAATGAAAACAAAAAACATTTCCTGAAATCAAACACCCTCTTAATTTTTCATTAGTATTCATTTTCACCCCCTCTACCCCCCTTTTGATCCTCAGCTATACACTTGTTTCCTCAACATTTGCAAACCCCTTTAGTGAAGCAATGTAATAATTTTGGTAGTGGAAGGAATGAGTTTTTTGTCCCAAATAAAGTGCTTGTAATCAAACTAGATGCTAAGAAAAGAGTTTGTAAAATAATAGTCTTTGCTTTGTGACATTTTGTTGCAGCTTGCTTTTACTGGTTCAACTGAAACTGGAAAAGTTGTCCTTGAACTTGCGGCAAGAAGCAATCTTAAGCCAGTAACTTTGGAGCTTGGTGGGAAATCCCCTTTTATTGTAAGCGAAGATGCTGATGTAGATGAGGCTGTTGAGCTAGCACACTTTGCATTGTTCTTTAATCAGGTATATTCAAATATAGAGATGGTCAAACAATTGTCTTTCAAAGAGTTCAGAGACAAATCGATTGGTGTTTTTTGTGCCATTCAGGGACAATGCTGCTGTGCTGGGTCTAGAACATTTGTACATGAACGTGTGTACGACGAGTTTGTTGAGAAGGCGAAGGCACGTGCTTTGAAGCGTTCTGTTGGCGATCCATTCAAGCAGGGAATAGAGCAAGGTCCTCAGGTAACAAAATGAAGAGAGAATTATCCTAATTTGATATACTTCATCGTGTATGATAGTCTATTAAAGTGCCCTGCTAAATTGATGATTTTGTGTATGATGCAAACAAATCAGATTGATTCAGAACAATTGGAGAAAATACTGAAGTATATTAGAACCGGTGTTGAAAGTGGAGCTACACTTGAAGCTGGTGGAGAGAGACTTGGCAACAAGGGCTTCTATGTTCAGCCTACTGTCTTCTCAAATGTTCAGGTGCATATAATATCTTTCAATTTCACTCTCATTTGATCAAAGATGCTAAAAATGTGACGTCTAGTGTTACTAATTGTAACAACTACTAGGATGGCATGCTGATTGCAAAGGATGAGATCTTTGGCCCAGTGCAATCCATATTAAAATTCAGGTATGAACAGTGATTCCTATTTTACAGATAATGTTATATAGATGTTTGAAAGATCTTATGGCAAGTTTATTAAATTAACTTATGACTCTCATGAGTTTTTTTAGCTTATTCAAACAATTTTTATGATGAAATTTATATCACAAGTCCTCACCTGATAAAAATGTATTGAATAAGTACTGAATTAAGCTGTCTATCTTTGTGCTTTTGCATTTTCACTAATATGTTTGTTTGTGTGTGATGATAATAGGGACCTTGATGAGGTAATTAGAAGAGCAAATAACACACCCTATGGCCTTGCAGCAGGGGTGTTCACAAAAAACATTGACACTGCTAACACTTTAGCTCGAGCATTGCGAGTTGGAACAGTATGGGTGAACAGCTTTGATACATTTGATGCAGCAATTCCCTTTGGAGGATTCAAGATGAGTGGACACGGAAAAGAAAAAGGAGAATATAGTCTTAGGAACTACTTGCAAGTGAAGGCTGTTGTTACATCCTTGAAGAACCCTGCTTGGCTTTGAACATCAATAGCTTCTGCTCTTTTTTATGAAAAAATTAATAAATAGGCTCCAATAATAAGGATGATTAAATCGTTATTATGATATCTGTCATCATTTGGAAATGTTTATTTTTTGGGGTGGGATACTTGGATAATGTTATTTTGCCCTTGCATTTTATGGGTATCACAAAATAATACTCTATTCTAAAATTCAATGTAGTGGTGGACTTCTAAAAATATTGAATTCTTGTTGGCTCAGAATGGAATCAAATTTGCATAATGAATAATGATAGTCTAAGACCACCTCATACACCCGTTCTCACTTCTCATAGGACATTGTTCCTTTTCAAAATGTATTAGTAATTAAATGTTACTAATATATTTTGATTCCTTAAACGAACTTTACATTTAGGATAATGGATAAAATTCATATATTAATAGTGTCATAAAGTAATTCAGATGAGCGTTCCCCTATCACATTTTGCAAACAAATGACTAACAGATGTTATGGGTAATACTATGTTGGTCCATTTTTTCACTCTTTTATTTGGGTCCTTTCAGTTGGCCTCCTGTTTTTCTTGTCAAAGCTGGCTTTTCTTAATGAGCCTTCTAGATCAAAAACAGGTTAAACAGGCCCATGGCACAACTGAAGGAATAGGGCCTATTGAGCACCGGTTTCCAAAAAGACCAAATAATTTACACACAAAAGACCAAAAGCGTGACAAAAACAAGTTTAAGACCCAAAAAAAAAAAAGGTAAAAAAGAATCTATATCCCCTTATAACATCTTCCTATAAATGCTCTGATAAATAAAAAATAAGTAAATATCTTATATATTTTTAAGACATTAAATACATTCTTGTTTTTATTTAAAATTTTATTTATTTTTATATTTGTACATATATATCTTTTTAATTACTAAATAAAAAATTTATTGGAGTGACAGGTAAGAGGATAAAGTAAATCTCTTTTATTTAATACTTAATTAAGTATCAAAAAATTAATTTTGTTATCTTTAACCTTTAAAATTGATTTTAAATGATTAAAAACAACAACTTTATGAAAAAATTATAATACTTAATAATTTTTATGGTAATAAATAATTTTTTATGAAATATAACTTAGCAATTTTAGTTATATATTCATCGTTTATCTTAAAAATTATAGTTAATAATAATAATAATAAAATTAAATAATAAGATAATGTAACATTACTGAAGAAAAACCAGAAAGTTTGACCAGAAAATGGGTGGAATTAATTAATGCAAAATGGAAATAATTGGCCAACCCAAAGCCGCAATTGTATTTATTTATAAAAAAGAATTGCAATCTTAACGTTGAACTCATAATTCCACGTCGTAAACCTGAATGGCTGTCGGCTTCGTCCCTCGAAGCACCTTCAAAAGCACGTTCTCTTTCCACTTTCCTCGCGCCACGCGTCACTTCCTCCGAACCCTCCTTTTCACAGATCCACACAAAACCCCACGTGTCTTCCCCTCAATAATCCAAAATTCCACTATCACCAAATCACCTTTCGACGCGTGTCCCCTCCCATCGCTTCCTATAAATATCCGACTTCGTTCCCATGAAAACAAAACAACACACGAATTATCCAAAGTTCCTAAACACAAAACTCCAACGCATACCTTTATTTCTATGATCCGAAAAACACATGGTTCGGATCGCCGGATACTAACGTTCCCGGCGGTTCATCCCTGCGAGAACATTGCTCCCTCAACCCTTCTCTCTTCGCTCATCACTCTCTCCAACGCCATTTCTAATTCCCAACACAGATTCTTCCCTTGTAACAAGCGAAACGCGAGAAACGCCATTCGTTTGGCCCGGCTTCTCCAACCTTTCCTTCATGAGATCCGAGACCTTCATTTGGGTCTTCCCGACCCGGCTACCCTTAGTTTGTCGGAGCTCCACCTCACCTTCCAGAAGCTTCTTTTCTTGCTGGAAGACTCTTCCCGCGAAGGTGCAAGGCTTTACATGTTAATGGAATCGGATCGGGTCGCAACTCAGTTTCGGGTCTTGGCCAGATCCATGGCCACTGCTTTGGACATTTTCCCTTTTGGTTCTGTTGAGGTCTCTGTGGAAGCTAAGGAGCAGATTTTGTTGCTGATGAAGCAAGCTAGGAAGGCCATGTTTGAATTTGAGCCTGATGATAAACGGGTTGTGATGGGTGTTATGTCGGGTTTGACCCTGTTTGGAAAGCGGGTTGCCCCGAATGAGGGTGATCTGAAGTGGGTTCTTGATTATATTGGGGTTAGGAGGTGGAGTGAGTGTAACAAGGAGGTGAAGTTTTTGGAGGGTGAAATTGGGTTTGAGTGTTTGAATGAGGGGAAGAGAAAGGTGGATTTTTTGAGTGGTTTGATTGGGTTCATGAGTTATTGTAGATGCGTGGTGATGGAGGATGTTGATGGTGCAGAAGGTAACAAGAAATCTGAAAGGAGCATTGAAAATGAGGTGATTCTGAGTTGCATTAACTCAGATGATTTTCGATGTCCAATCTCTTTGGAGTTTATGAGTGATCCGGTGACAATAGAGACCGGTCATACTTATGATCGTTCTTCAATTCTCAAATGGTTTAGAAGTGGAAATGCAGTATGTCCCAAGACGGGTAAAAGGCTTAGTAGCATTGAATTGGTCCCGAACTTGGTGCTACGGAGGTTGATTCAGCAATATTGCTATGCAAATGGCATTGCTTTTGCTGATTTGGGTCGTAGGAATCGGGACATCCCCAGAACAGTGCAGCCAGGAAGTGTGGCAGAAGAGGAAACAATGAAAATGTTGGGTGGTTTTCTCCGTGGAAGGCTTGAGAATGGAACTGGGGAAGAGAAGAACCGAGCTGCTTTGGAAATAAGGCTTCTTTCCAAAACAAGCATTTTTAGTAGGTCTTGTTTGGTGGAAGCTGGTTTGGTTCCTCTTTTGTTGTTGTCTTTGAGAGATTCATTGACACAAGAGAATGCCATTGCAGCCATTTTGAATCTCTCAAAATACTCAAAGAGTAGAGCTGAGATGGTTGAGAATTTGGGGTTGGAATTGATTGTGGGGGTCTTAAAGAAAGGGATAAAGATTGAAGCTCGCCAGCATGCTGCTGCTGTGTTGTTTTACCTTGCTTCAAATGCTGAGTATGGGAACATGATAGGAGACGAGCCAGAAGCAATTCCATCATTGATCAGGCTCATCGAAGATGGCTCTGATCGAAGCAAAAAGAATGGTTTGGTTGCAATTTTTGGCCTCCTTAAGCACCCTGAAAATCATAGGAGGGTGCTAAGAGCTGGAGCAATTCCTTTGTTGATTAACATCTTAAAAGGATGTGAAAAGGAAGAACTCATCACAGACTCACTTGCAATTCTAGCGACTATGGCAGAGAGGAGTGAGGGAACATTAGCAATCCTTCACTTTGGAGCTTTGCTTGTAGCTGTTGAAATTTTGAGTTCTTCCACTTCAAGGGTGGGGAAGGAGCATTGCGTGTCTTTATTGCTTTCTCTTTCAATAAATGGTGGAGTAGACGTGGTTGCTCATTTAGTGAAGATCCCTTCTCTTATGGGATCTTTATATTCCCAACTCAGTGAAGGCACATGTCGAGCAAATAAAAGGGCCAGTGCTCTCATCAGGATCCTTCATGATTTTTATGAAAGGTCTTCTGGCTTCAAGACTTCAGTTATTCCACAAGAACAATTTGTTCATGTTTGGTAACCTAGTATTTTTTTGGTTCATCTGGGTATTCTTTGATTTGTTTTAAGGATACGAATTGTAGATACTAGTGTATAAATGTGCTTATTTCTGTTGTTTATACTCGTGATATTAGTTCGCATTTTAAAGAGCTAATAATTTTATCAGCTTCTGCTTTTGACCATGAAGCATGTACAATTATTCATTGATCTGTTGAATATTTATCAAATAAGGTTGCATAACGTCAATTAATGAGGAATAATATCCAAATTTTCCTCCTCTTTTATTGTCTCCACGACAAAAGTTTCAGGCCTGTGTAGAACTGCGATGTAAAATACTTCGTTTATAACGATACAAGTACCTTCTAGGATTAATTTGCTATGTATATGCCTTATTAACGAGTTTAACGCCATAAAAAATAATTCAATGGAAATACTTTGCTTATCTTTGTGGTCCATTTGATCGTTTCGAAAATCGATGTTAAAGAGAAATCGATGTTAAAGAAACAGCAATAATACCTCCCAACCCAAATAATGATCTTATATCCCAAAGTTATTTTCTCACTGACTTTTCACTCGGTGGAGTGATAATGCCAATAAAGTTAAATAACAATTAAGTAAAATGTTAGCAAGATTTTTTTTAACAAACTCTTAAGCACACTTTATTACCAACTTAAATTTATTAAGAATCACAGAGAACATGTTCACTTCTAATTTAATAAATCTCACTTATAATTGTATAATCTTTAATAAATTTAGAACAACAATTAAATTAATAAAAAATATATTCCTAACACACCTCTTAATCAATCGTCTTTAATTTTAATAAATTCTCCTAATCCTCAAAATTAATTAATTTTACTTCAGTTTCTTTCAATCACTTTGTACCAAAATAAATTAAAATAAACATTCTATAAAATGTAAAGTTTACCTGAAACTATAGGGATCGATATTTAAAATTCCCGGCACTAAAACGAGGCATTTCCTTATAAAAGAAAGGTACACATTATTATTACAGAAAGAGGGGTTACCTTACCATAGAACTGATATGTGAGACCGGACAAAAAAATAGTCGTAAGATAAGTAAATTCCAAAAGGGTAAGTATTATTTAGTGACGGTATTTCTTATTTCCAAAGAAAAACAAAAGTAAGTCCAGGGCAGTAAAAAAAATGTCCCAGACCATTCACATGACAAAAATTGCCACTCGATTCTCACAGGTAAATAAAATGGTAGTTCATCCGGATAACTTCTTGAATCTTGAAGCAATAGACTGAAAAATTCATTAAACCATTTATGATTATAAAGCCATTTTACAATTTAGCGTAAAGACTTGACATGGGATGCGGATGATGATAAAAATATCAATTCAGTAGAAAAGGAAACAAGGAACATACAATCAACGAATCATGATTTTGACCTCAAAGCTAGCCCTGTCTCTACTTTCTTTATTTCAAAGATAAGCATCCTCCACATCTTGAGAACAAACATTTCTGCCTCTTCATCCAAAATGATCTGAAGACGCTCAAGCATTTGGGAAGCTTTCACATGTTCTTGTGTACTGGAAACAATATAATCTATCAATGTATTTTCTTCTTCTCCCAAAAACTCTTTGATTTTCTTCGAAATCCAAGGCCTCATTCTTTCATGTAATTGGTGCTGAAAAGAACACGGTACAGAACCAAATATTTAGAAAGTATGACAAGGTTGTACAAACCCAAGTAACCTAAAACATCTACAAACAAAAGCACCTTAAAAAAAGTCTGCAAGGGCTATTCCACCCAACTGAGTGTGACTGTGAGGTGAAGCAATCTTAAAAAATATAAGGCTGTTCTTGAATAAATTTTCAAAAGACATTTTAAATATATCAACATTATGTTCCTAAAGTGAGAAGGTTCCAATATGAACCCCGTTTATTTTCATACTTTCATACTTTTTATGTTCCTACAAATCCAAAATGTGCCAAAAGAGAAATATTGCAGACATATTCTCTAACTTATTGTCCATTAAAAAAATAAAAATCAAAGCACATAAAGTAACCAATTTATGAAACTAATCATAAGGAGTGTATAAAAGAATGTGTTCAAAAGTGTGTGGCTAGCATTCCTATATCCCAGAATACACACTAAAAAAAATAAAACAATCAGGGGCTATAGTGGTGTTTTTCCTTTTTCAATCATTTGTCAAAAGTTCACTAATAAAATTTAATAGGCTCCTCAAACTTCCCAGGTTTTTTAGGCTCTCAGAACAGTTCCTTCCTTCCACACAGCAACTACAATGCTCCAACCTTTCTATCAACAATCTTACACAATTACACTAGTGAACCCAAAATAGTGATTAAGGTGTACCAATCTGGCTCAAGTGAAAATTAAATATAGACTAGACAACTCTCTTTTGATTAGTTCAAAATCAAATGATAATATAATTCAAAATCTGAATATTAGGACAATGTACCTTATCATACACCGCCCAGTCTATCTCATATGAGAACAACTCCTCCTTGGTTTTTGGTATCATATCAATTAATTGTTTCGCATCCAAGAGCCTTTTGTTATCAGAAGTCTTAAGTTTCTCTGATCCATGATCTCGATCCCTGTCACGGTCAGGATTTCTCTCCTTGTTTTCATCTCTGTTGTGAATGCCATCTTCATCACTCCTGTCCCTATCCCGATGGTTTGACTTCTCATTTGAACGCCTACTTCTATCCCGTTCTCCATCCAGCTTCTCTTCCTTGAAATTTGTACTGGATATTCGCTTAGCAAATTCTGCAGCTGCAGCCAGATTTGGTGGCGTAGGTCCAGAAGCATTAGGTTGAACAGCCTGCAACTCTTCTGTTGAGTAATCAATTGGAACCAAAGGCCTCATTTTTTTGTCCTTGTGTGCATCATCGTCCTCCTCTTCATGGAAAACAGAAGGGACGGTTGTTCTTTTCCCCGAACCAACTAGACCAAATCCCAATTTTTTTGTAGGAGCATTCCCACTTGACTGTGTATCAGTTGTAGCAACAGATGCCACGGTTGCTTCATCATTGATGTTAAACGAATTACCATCATCTGTCATTGTAAAGCATCACTACCGTTAATAATATAAGTCAGAGAGGAAAGCACAAATTGCAAATAGTTATGAAATTTACCAATATGACCTTCACGACTATAATCAGCCACAGTATCATGCTCAGCTACAATGCTTTTGACTTCAGTATTAATCTCTTCAGTAGCCATATTTTCATCAGCAACATTTACCACATGCTCAGATAATAACTTCAATGCATCCCTCTGCTGCTTCTGTTCCTCCTCAGCCTTCTTTTTGGCCTCAGCAATTTCTTCCTCTTCTTTCTGTCTGTCTGCCAGGTCATCTTCCTTCTCGCGCAGCCTCTTCTTTCTCTTCTCCTCTAGCACACTTCTACGCCATCTCTTCCTAGAATCTTCATCCTCATCCTCTTCATCGTAAAGTATCTCCTTTCTCCGTTTGCGTTCCCTTTCCTTTTCCTTCTCCTTTTCATACTGGCGTTCTTTCTCTTTCTCTCTTTCTCTATACTCCCATTCCTTCAAATATGCCTCATACTGGCGCTCAGCCTCCTCAACCCTCCGTCTTTGTTCCCTCTCTTTCCGAATACGTTCCCGTTCTGCTTCTCTTTCATATCTTTCAAGTTCTCTTTCCTTTTCTCGTTTTAGTTCCCTGTCTCGGTCTCTCTCTCTGCTTTTCCTGTCATGCCTTCTCTCAGGGGTTTCAGGCCTATCATGTTCACCAGTTGGTTTGTCACTGTTTGTCTCTCTCTCATTTTTATTTTCAGCTGTTTCTACACAATTTGAAAAGAAAAGCTTATGAATAATATTTTACAAATAAATAAGAGATAAAGATATCCTGAGGATAAAATATAGCCCTGTTGTGTATACACTCAACAGAGAACAGATACAGGAATTGAAGTGACTTTTTTCCTTACCATTCTTCTCTGTATCGACATCAGAGTCTCCATCTCTTGTTTTAGCAGGTTGTTCTGAAGTTAAATTCACAGAGACATCGCCAGTAGGCTGTGGAGGTGGTGGAGGCAAAGGTCTTGTCTTCAACCTTTCCTCTATCATTTTTGTGATCTTTTCTATAGCCTCGCGATCAGCTTCTCTATCTTCATCAGTGATAATCCCAAAGTTTGCCACATCATGGGATTCCTTGTTCCCAGTTTCATTATCCTCTTTATTTGAGTGATCTGTATTAGGCTTTGCATCCTCATTGGCATCAGACGGTTTTGCACCTTCATCATTTTTATCAACTCCTGTTTGAGTTTCTTTGCTCTCTGAGTTCTCAGGTTTTTTCTTAACATACCGCTCCAGATATTCTTTCATAGCTTGATTCACATTGACCTGTTAAAAATTAGAAATGGCTAAAAGCCTTACATGTACATGGAGAAAAAAAATGTTTTTTGTTATCATGACTTTATTGAAACACTTATTTATCTTGTTCATAGAAATTGTATACACTTTGTACTAGGAAATGCTGATGCAATAGTATGTTCGATTATAGTGTTCAACCTCCATGGCATGAACATTTGTGCCAAAAACATTAGCTATATACTAACTCCAAATAGAATTAATGGCAAAAGGCAGGAGGCAGCTTGAAAAACTCACTTCAAGCAATGGAACCTTTTTTGAAAACTCCAATTAATAATTGTCGCTAGGAAACATTTCATTCTTCACACTAAGGTATGTCCCAAACATTTGGGAGAAAGTAAACAATATAGTATTTGGATCTGCCAAATGTTTAAGATCTCTACATAACAGAAGAACTGGTGTTTGTTTCATGAAACCTTCAACTAGGCACCCCACAACCTTGAACCAAAAATTAAGTTAAGGCAATATATATATAGTGAAATTGCCAGAATTTCATTGTAGAATGACTCAAATTGATGATAATAATAGATTTTACATGTCCTCCACATACAAACCCTCCCCACCCCCCTTAAAAATAAAAGAGAACTCCACACAACTATGTGAAACACACTCCATCAAGTCAAAAGAAGTAGCAACATTTCTTTTCCCACATCAGCGGCATACTTAATTATCAAGTATTTCAATCATATTAATTTTCAAATTCATTAAAATGACTCGTATGCACTGACTAGAAGTATAGCCATGCCCAACAGTAAACAATCATGTTGACACGCCCACAATTTCAGCGTAAAATAAAAAGGGCAAGAACTTAAATGCAGTATTAACATTAAATACAATGAGAAAGTAATAAAAGATGAAGACATACCACTAGTTCTTGCCCATCAATATTCAATTTAGTAAGGAGACGCAAGGCACGGAGAACCCCTTCTGCAGACTCAAACTCATACAAACCAAAACCTTTAGGAGTTCCAGTTGATAAATCTTGAGGACGTTTCCAGCTCTTGATAGGTCCACATAACTTAAAGGAAATAATTGAATCAGTGAATTTATAATTATACTAAAAAATTCATAGAGATGTGTAGTACATATCTTGATTAATGCAAGGCTCAAAAGAGAATATAGGCATGTCTGTTTCACCTTTTTGGAGAAAAAGGGATTTTTAGTTTAAAAAATTATAATAATTATGTAAATTTTCCAATGATATTGTTTTAGTGCTTTTCTCAAAAGCAAAAAATATTGGCTTCTGAAAAAGCTCTAGAAAAAGTTGTATCACGGAATCACTGTTTAAAGCTAAAGAAAAAGGTCCAAAGAAAAGACCAAACTCAGAAATTTACTTGAAGAAGAGATAGCATGAACTCATTTTCCACAGTTGGTGCAATCTTGCCAATGTAAACTGTGGTTTGAGGCTTTTCAGTGGGAGTAACACTGGGGGCAACCACAGGTCTGACAACAGGAGGAATAATAGGGCGAACTGCAGGGATCCCAGCAACTGGTGGGCGTGATATTGGAGGTACATTAATTGCTCCAGGAGGCCGTGGAGGATAAACAGGCCGGACCATAGTTCCATATGGAGGCGGGTAACGAGGAATTCCTGTATAAAGTAGAAAAAAAATCTATGCAAATATATTAGAGCAGATGATGAGTGAATATATTTACACCATAAGCAAATCAATACAACATTAAAGATATATGCAGAAAAAAATGCGACAAGAACAATGGAATGCGGTTACCACACATCAAAAGCATAACAGAGAAGGCAGCACAGCCAACAATCACCAGCTGAAGTGACAACCTGAAGATAACAATAAGAAATGCTATCTAGAAATTTACTGACATGTAAAAAATACTTACCTTTGTCTGACCACTTGCAACATGGAAGGCTTCTCAAACTATCCCATCCACCAATTGCAAACAGTAACTTGCACAATCTCATGTATGCATGGTTTACTAAGAAGAAACTCTAATTGAGTTATAAGTTCTTTCTTATATATAGCAGCCCACGTTGCAGCATAAAAAATGGAATGAAACTTCAATAGAGAGAAAAGAGAATTGAAAAGATTGCAATACCTCATGACACAAGGCCAACGTGCATTCAGTTGCAAACATGATCGGCTCGAAGGGAAAGTACTCTTATAACTAGCAGAAAGTGGCCTACTAAAATAAGCACGACACAACCATACATTATTTAGATCGACAAAAGAACAATTACTCTACTTTTTATTTTTCTTAATTGTGAATGTCACTCTGTATAATGTTGATTCCCAATTTTAATAAAAGACAAAACAATCAAGAAACCAGGCAAATATGTGCATACCAAAAAATGAGTTGTAGAGAGGTGTCTTTAAGCAATATGAAGCCTTCGAACCTTTCTCACCGAATTCAATCAAGACACTGTAGGAGAAAACATCCCGTCATCGATGCCCCTTATTAAATCTCTCCCAACTCACTCATCATCTAAAACAAACCCCTCCCACTCATAATACCATAACATTTATCAACCAACGCTAATAATAGTCCTCTTTTGTGCCACTGCACGCACTCAACAACAGTCTTCACATATTTCACAGCGCGTAAGCAATAACAATAATTCCATACTCGTAAAAAAATTGGAACAATCAACGAAGAAGCGTTAAGCTTAAATGCACACATACATATAAATATATATATACACACAGCCACAGAGAGAGAGAGAGAGAGAAAAACAGAGTAAAGAACGATAGAATCACCCACCCGCGGGAGGAACGGTCCCTTGCGGAGCTGCGGCGTAACCGTTTGGCATCGGAGCGAAGGGACGCAGGGTCGGGTTCGCCGGCTGGCCGGGAGGAACCTGGTACGACATCATCGGCTGCATCTGCGGCACCGGAACCGCGGCGGCGCTGGCCACGCCGGGAGGTGGAACATTAGGGTTTTGAAAGGCCGGGTTTGGCGCCGGGACGGGAGAGAATTGAGGAGCTAGTGGCCGAAATGACGGCACGGACGGAGGGAGAACGCCGGGAAGTTGCGGCGGAGCATATAATACGGTGGGCGGCGGAGGTAGTAACGTTGGATTGGGATTAGGGTTTGTGGCGAGGGGAGTGGATGGTGGTGGCGTTGAGGATTTGGGAAGTGGATCGGGTTGGTTCGGAGGTCCGGATTCGGAGGGTTGGGGATTGGGTGGTAGGGTTGCTGTAGAAGAGACGGAATCCGCCATTGAAGAACGAATTTGTGAATTGTGAGAGTGAAATTGGATGAGCGTGTTTGTGCCCTAAACCTTTGAGAAAATGGAGTGCCCCTTGTTATGTTTAAAAGTATGATCCACTGCTTCGCGCTATATAAGACCTCTCTACAAATTCATCCACTTTTATTTTTCATAGAACACTCAAGATGAACCTTGTAAAAAAAGACGGAATAAGAAATAAAATGATAAAAATGGAAATATATTGGGAAAATAAAATGATAAAATGGAAATTTCACATATATGGTAACTTTTTCATTTGAGTTTATTCGAGCATATATATCAACCATGTTTTACCAGAGACTCATGTTTTTTCATGTCGTAGGCATTGCATGGCACGGGCCACGGGGTAACTAACATGGGAGCATAGTTATGTACTCATCATTCTACATTAAAAAATTGAAAATTAAAGAAATCTTAGGGTATGTTTGAAAGTGTTTTACTCTTTTTAAAATCAATTTTATACTATCATTTTAAAAAAATATATTGAAAGTAAAAATGTAAAATTAAACTGACATATAATGATAAAAGACTATGGGACAATGTTTGTGAATCTATGGGACAATCATAAAATCGGAGGGTCCAAAGCACTTTTCGCAAACTAGTCATCAATCCATCGGATCAAATTTCAATTTGACAACTTTAAATAAAAAACCATGATTTGGATGTTTTTAAGTTTTAGATTTTAACATCTAAAAAATATATATATTATCTCTAAAATATACTTTTATCAACCATCAAACACGTGAATTAACCGGTAAAATATTATTTTAACTTAAATTGTAGTCATTGAGTTTTGTCACCCATAGTTTTAATTTAAACAAAAAATATATTTTATCAAATAATTTAAAAATTTTAAAACAAACAAACCTTTATTTTTTAAACATATTTTTTGAATTAAAAGTGTAAACAAGTTCATTTTTTAGTTACTTTTATACAGAAATCAGTTTACATGTAAATATAACATGCTAATAAAAATAAAACAAGTAGTTGTAAAAAAAACACCATTAAAAAGGTGTAAAGTTAGTTAAAAATATGTTTAACAGGTAAAAATATTATTATTAATGTGTTGTCATGTTAAAATAAATTACTAATGAGTGTCACAGGGATGTGAAGTAAATTGAATGTCAACGATTTTTTATTTATTTATTTTACTTTAAATAGATGCTTTGGGATGATAAGTATTTACAAGAATTAATATATCTACATAGTTAGGAGTGAGGGAGGGGAGAGATAAAGATTAAATCAGAATGTATTGCATAATTAATTCAATAAAGTTTGTATTTTTATTTTATCATTTTGATGAAATGAATATGGATTTTAACACTTTTAATTCACTTTAAAATTTTATTGTGCTAATTTATTATTTGTTGAAGGGGGAGAGTTATGCTCTAAATGTTGAAACAAAATAATTGATTCAATCATAATTATAAAAAAAAAATTTGTCAAATGACAGATTACGATTGTTAAAAAAAATATTTAACACAATAGTTAAATTGATACAATGTCTCTACATTTTGCTTTCAACCAACATGGAGATATCTATTTTATCCCTCCAAACTAGTTAAAGATCTCATAACTCAAAACACCACTTGTGATTACACATGCTAAGCTATTTGGATCACTACTTATCTTTGCAAGCATAATCAGCAAATCACACTTTGTAAAATAATTTTCCATAAAAAGTTTTTCAAAAATTTTGATAAAGCTTTCTTTGAAAATTCAATATTCCTAAAATAACAAATACTTGTCAAAATGCATAACCAACTGCTAGAAACCAATATTGTAAGATAATAACGATCCACGTTGACAGATTAATAAGTTAAAAGTATATAAGTAAGAGTTAAGGGTGCACATAGTCAAGACAAATGAAAAAAATAAAAGAGGTTAAACAAAAAAAGAAGAAGAGATCTATGACATCTAAAAAGTCAAGAAAAAAGAGGATGAGCTTAGTTAATAATAAAAAGAACAAGACCTAAACTTATAGTACAAGCCAAAATTAAAAGTCAAACTAACTAGATTTGAGAAGTATTAAATAACAAAATTTGACATTAATGGATTAGTAATAAGTTAAACAAATATGGACAAAAGACCTAGCAAAATAAATAACTTTATTAGAATGATTTAAATCACTAATAATTGTTTAAAAATAAAAACAACGATCACAATATTAATAAGATGAATCACACAAATTTATAAAAACATAACTATAAATTAGAAAGAAAATGCAAAAATGCACGGCTTTCTTTTGCTGTTTTTAAACTCAAACAAACAAGCAAGAACTAAAACAAAAAATTTAATACATTTGTAAATCGCCACATAAAATACCTTAACAATTGATGTTACAATAAAGTCCTTGTATTTATATTTCTAGATTGGAGTATATGCAGGGACCAAAACAAATCGTTGTAAATATACTCCAAAAAGTTAAATATGAACTTTTCGAGATGTAACGTTCATTTTATCATCATCCTAAGTATTTGGCCTGTTTGTATTACAACCAACACTGGTTTTAGAAGTGGAAATTTTTTACTTTCATTTAAAACACTCGTAAATAAAAGGGAGACTATCATTTATAATACGAGAATAGTTTAAAACCAATCTCTTTCTTTCTATTAGCTAGAATAACCTTTTGTTTGCCCTTCAAAACCATGTTTGCTAATTTCCAGACCCAAAACCACGTTGTAGTGGAGTTATACTGAGGAATTTATTTTATTTTATTTTACAAATCTGGAGTAAGTTCAAACATGTAAACATGCCCGTATATACTTGCTATCAAACTGAAAATTAAACCATGTACCAGCTGAGCCTTTTCTGAATAGCTTGAAATTGAGTACTGGCAAAACCAATATGACACAATCCTCTGAAGTACAAAATTAATTTAGGTATATGTAAAATTTTCCATGGAAACTAAAAAGGCTTTGGTCAACCTGCGTCGAACGCAAAATATAAACTACTATTTTTGCTATTAGGACCAGACACTAGAGCCGCTCAGGGAATATGATGAAAGGTTGTTAGCTTAGTTTACATTTACAAGCTCAAATTTCAAGGGTAGTGGGCCAGATACTTAAGCCGTTTCTTCTTCTCAGAAGTTTCGTGTACTTGTGCTTTCCTTCCGAATGTCTTAAGCTGATAATTTTCGAAGGCATTAGAAACAGCTTCCACCTACGATCAATGCCAAAAAAAATCAGTGCATGGGCATTGAGTGCATATTGAAAATAATTCCAAATTGTTAAGGTACTATCTTTCTTGTTGCTACTAACCAGCTCAGGCTTCTTACTATACACTCTTACTATTATGTCTTCATAAAATGCTGGCAACAAATGACTAATGCGGTCGTCTGCAATGCGAAAATTTTCTCTACTCTCGTAATCCTTATACAATTACATAAATCTGTTGAGTTCACCATGTAAACTTTATCATATCAAATAAGAAAACTAACAAATTCTGGAACCAAAACAATTTGAACAAATTATAAATTGTAATAACCATACAAGCTGTTACTTGGAATAACAATGACAAGATGATTATGATACATGGAAGCTCTATTAGTCCATTGTTGGAGTCATAAATGAAGATCAGAACACTCAATGAATTATAAAATTTGGATTCCACGATTGACACAAGTCCTAACTTGCAATAACCTTCTAACCACCTACAGAGTATATTAAAATACTAATTCTAGGTACTCCATTTCTTTCAAAATTTTATTATTTTCTTTTGCCTTTACTATATGGCACTTAATTAGTACCACAACATTTGCAGATAGTTGCAATGTTCAAAAACTATCTTGCAATATAACTTATTGAAAGTAGTCACAATTTGAAAGTTAAGAAATATAATAGGCAGTTATCAATCAGTATATCAAAAAAAGGACAACCAAGGAGAATTCAAGTGAATTTAGTACCTTGAAAAATTTAATTCTGGATCAGGAGATGCATGCATAAAGAAGAGCACTTGTCATATTACGTCAATAATTACCAAATGATTAGGATACTGAAGTTCTTAAATAATTGTTTCTTCAGCCAGTACCTTTCAAGAGGGTTCTCCCTTCCTCGTGTTAAATCAATTTTAACATTGCTCACAGCAACATCTTCTTCTTTCAAAGTGATGCCATTAGTCTATTTGGAGAAAAATTGAAATTGAGACATTGAGTATAGCAAGATGCTAAAAAAAGGAATATATAAAAACGTATGAATATACGGAGTAAAGAGGTGATATTTAATCTTAATATATAGACTTTTCAACCTGGGAACAGACAATATCTTGCGGTGTGATGCTTCTGAAGTCATCTAGTCTTTCCTTTGGAACAGAAAATTCATTACAGAACTGCAAAAATGAAGATATGATTTTCTCAACTTGTTAGCATAATCTGTGTATTAATGATGGTATTGATAGAAACCAAAAGCCACACATTATTGAATATCAACATGAAACAAAAGGATTACAGAAGGGTAGGACAAAGGGGGTACTTGGTGCACCTTAGTATCTACTTGGTGTACTTTGGTGCCTACTTGGTGCTCTCTTGGTGCCTACTTTGTGTCCTCTTGGTGTGTTTTGCTACACTTTAGTGCTAATTTAGTGTCCACTTTGTGCTTTTTGGTGCACCGTAGTGCCCTCCTGATGTGTTTTATACCTAATTAATGCACCTTGGTACCTAATTAGTGCACCTTGGTGCACCTAAGTACCCTCTTGGTGCGTTTTGTTGCACCTTGGTACCTAATTGGTGTACTTTGATGCCATCTTGGTGCCTACATGGTAGGCTTTGGTGTTCTTTTGGTGCGTTTTGCTGCACCTTTGTACCTTTTTGGTACCTCTTGGTGCCTACTTGTGCTACTTGGTGCCATTTTTCCACATACATGAAATTATTTGTCCAAAGCTTTACAGCTGAAATCTGATACCAAAGAATTGATGATTTTTCCTCCTCCACTATATGCTAAAAACCTTTTTACCCAAAACAAGACGACCACTATCAGCAAATCCAGACTATGGGGCTTTGATCTGGCTCATTAATGAACCTGACCTCATTTCCCCCATTTGGACCTAATAGGTATATCTATACAAGAATATCAATCCAGAAAACCATCATAGAAGGAAAAAATACAGGTAAGTATCTCTCTTAGATTTATCAGTTAGAGTACCTGGTATAGATCCCTTCTTCGAATGCGCATGATCAAGTCTCTAGATTCCTTCAGCTCTTGCTGGGAAGAAGATTCAATTGTTTTAAGAATTGAATCGTCTAACTGAAATTTAAGAAAGAGACAGTTCCATAAGGCCAAATAGAAGTCCTAACACCAAAACTTGCAATTTACTCAAGACCTTCCAAAAGTCAGATGGTTGATGAATTGAGGATGCAATATGAAGATAGGGATTTGCTTTCACCAGTGCATCTATGACCATCAATTCTATTGCCTGATAAAGAAAAAAATCCAAAAGTAAAATATGCTCTCTCTAAAGCCCAGTAAGAATTTGTGTTTACATCAGTAAAACTTTGGTGTAATCACTCACCTTTACTTTTGCATGTGTATAGACTGTTCGATGTAAATCTGCACGGGTTGCAAATAACTTGTGAACTGTTAGATCTGACCAACATGTCAAACAGAAATGATGTAAATATAACTTCCATTCTGCCACACAATAATAATATCAAAGTTTTCAGTAAGTACTAACAATCTTTAGCACGATAACAAATTTCATCATCCATAACTTGCATGGTCTCCATCAATCTGCAGAACCAATAAAATTAACATTTAGTTACACTTGCCAACTCTTTTTTGAGAAAGTAGTCATGGAATGGAGTATGTGCCACATATTTCAAGCAGCTCATATTGCTGCACTGTTTCAAAACTGTCAATCTCAGAAGATCTAGCCCAACATAATAATGCCACCTAGAATATAAAAATAAACACCTCTCAGGCTGAAAGTTGCACCCTAGGCCACAAGCACGGGAGTCACGAACAATGTAGTCAAACCTACAAATTCTTGAATTACTTATAGCTCCACTTCCTAGAGGTTAGGTGTCAATAACATTTATACAAGAGAAGAAAGAAAGGAAGAAAGATATCAACTCACTTGTCAACATCAATTCCATTGCGACCATTTGCAACAATATCATACAAGAACTGGTTTTCCTTTATGTAAGGGATTTTTTTAAAAAAGAAATTGTACAAAAATAGGGTTATGAATGTGGTACAAAATAAATTACATCACAAAAGTAAAAAAGAAAACAAACCCTTGGACACTAAGATAACCTACTCTTTGTGAAGGATAGTTGTTAGAGCTAGAAGTAATCATTTCCTGAAAAAAAGAAATGAAATGGATCAAAGCTATTCCACAAATTGAAACTGTTGACTCAATTGTTGTTCTTATTCTAAAGCAAAATAAAATTTAAAAATTTTGGAGTGGAATACATTCAAGTGCAAAATAAATGAAAGTAGAGGTGAAACAAAAAGGTATTAATCAAAACATTCCCAGCATTAGAAAAGCAAAATGCGTGTGTTCCACAGCATTTGCTAGTCATATCGCTCGGTATAAAAAGAAACAATCAAATCTAATATAAAATAAAATTTCAGTTTTGAAAAAACACAGAACAACAAGGAAGATTAATAGCATGTATTGTTCATTCCCTTTAGAGTTATAAGGGGTTAAAGTAACCTTTTATTCTAAATTTGTCCTTAATAAAATGTTGATTTTTAGTAAAAAATAAAAATAAGATTAATTTAATTACAGTCTAACCTTCGCTTTTTTGAGAAGTTCAGGATCCATATCAATATTGTGTTGATCAACAATGTGATCAACCATCTTCACAGACATTTCTTCATGAGACCTAAAATTCTTAATATTAATAGTTCAAAAGCATGGATTCTCCAGAAAGAAATGATTGCAGTTCTGTGAAGATCTCGTTAATTACAGAAAAGTCATCAATTTGATGCAAAAAACATAATATCTTGTGTGCTAAGACATAGTCAAAATAATAACAGTAATATATTATTGTCGAAGTGTCATGAAGCTTATATACGTGTCAAAGAAATGTGGGAAGGTAATATATTATGAGCTATAAGCCATGGTGTAAGAGCAGTAATTTTCTCCAATTACAAGCCTAGAAAAAGGTCATGTCAACTCTATCACATTGATTGTTGATTTCTGCTGTAAACCATGAACGGGTGCTCTTCATGCTTCAAATAGATTTTGACTCATCATTTGGCATTTAAAATTACATAAAAAAGGATGACAATGGTGAAATAAAGAATCATAAAATCAATTAATTGATCACTCAACTTAAATGAAAAATAAGTAATTCTCATAAATTATTATGACCTCAAAACTTCAATTTTAGGGACACATTGCTATGAAATCTCTAACACACAGTTCGACAAGAAAGTTTACAAAAAAACTCCACATGCATAAGGTCTTTTACTAAAAGCAATTGCATAAATCCTCACTCTTTCAATATGATGTAATAATTAATTGTTTTTTGCCGTTATAATCTTTCTTGGTTGGTACAGAACTCATAAAAATATCATTTAATCAAGTTCATCCATACAAAAGGCAAGAACAAAACGTATAAAATCCTTTTTGACAATTGAAAGATAGATACCCACTTCCGATTAGTTCTCATCTCATGTGTTCAGTATCTAAATAAATAGTAGCATCTAAAGTGCACACGTTTTAAGACAATGGCAAGACATGTAAATGTTGAACACTGTACCACCACAGAGGACGAGAAAAATTTCAAATATATGGCCTAATATGCATCATAGTAGACAAGAGGTGTAATATAGTGCTTATATAATGGTTTACAGACTTCAGTGACAAGCTTCTGAGATCAAATAAAATAGGGTACATGTGCTAGATACTTTTTGTATCCCACCACGGTTATTTTTCTTCAGTTTTAAGGAATGAGGGAGAGCCAAAACTCAATGCTACCAGTCTAAAATTGTGAAGTTTGCAATACTCAGTTTTTGCTCTTACTTATTAAGTATACTTTCAGTAACAATAATTAGAAACATTTTTTTTTCATTGGAAGCTAAAACAGCAATGGAAAAGACACTAGAAATTAAAAGGAGAGAACCCATATGAATTTTTGTCTTATCTTATCCAGAACATCAGAATTACCAAGTGGAGCCATTAAGAACCAGGGGAAGGAACCCATGCTCAAAAGTGTGGCTGAATGGGCCATGACCAACATCATGTAGTAGTCCTAAACACAGAGATGACTAATAAGAAGTAGTGGAATTAGATAAGTCAAAACAAAGAACTTATTTGGTAGAGATGTAAATTACCAGCAAGTTTTACTGTCAATACATCAGAGTGTTCAATGCCTAGCTCGGAGCCCTATAAGGATGGCATGATTGTTGAGCAGTATAATCTCATAACTTATAAGCAATATCTAGATAAGAAAAGTTAAAAAGTATATTTACTTGGTATTTCTTAATGACATCAATAGCTTTTCCAGCCAGCCAATAAACGCCCAGTGAATGCTCAAAACGAGAATGAACAGCCCCAGGGTAAACCATATGACTTAGGCCTGGATCACATGAATTGGTAAGAAGGCTTTCAATTTAGATTGAGTTTGGTTATAACATTTGCAACCGAAATCTCTACTTTAAATCACCTTGTTTTTTTTTGGAATGAACATGCAGAATGTAACACAATTCCACATCCTAAACAAATGCTGATAATCGTTTAATACATATCATTTTGGGAAAAAGATTGCATGATTGACAAGTATTTAAACAGTGAAAAGTAATATCTCTATATCTATCTGTCTTTTTGGTTTGTGACTTGATGCTTATTAGTCATTACAGTTAGAGCCACCCCAACAGCAACAGGCAATAGCATGCAAAATAATAATAATCATAATAATAATAATTATAATAGCAGATTTGTAATAGGAAGGGACTAAAGAGAAACTAAAAAGTTGAATATAAACAGGGTGTGTGATAAAGCATGCCAATTTGCAAGACAATCTGCAATTTTCCATGATAAAATTATTACTATAGATATGCATTTAAAACATATCTAAGCCATTTTCTCATGCTATACCCTCCTAATAGATTTAATTTGTATGCAATGAATGTTAAACGTTCACTCACCAAGTTGTTTCAGATCACGAAGTCTGCTAAATAAACAAAGTTGTGAGAAGCAAAAAGTCAGATAAAAAAAATTGTCAAGAGTACATTAAAGGAGCTATTTGACTCTTTTTTTACTTGCCTTTGAAATTGTTCAGTGTCAACAAACTTCAAGAAGATCTGCAACAAATCAAATGTTTCCAAGTTCCGCAAAAATCAACGACATGAATAGTGAAATAAAATAAAATAAAACTCCAATACACTTTGATCCAAAAGAAATAGCATATTTAGTCGATGGTTACAGAATACCACACAAACCGATAGCTACGAGCCAACAAAACCTAAATATAGATAGATATGTAATTTAAAAAATTTCTTTTCGTTACATCTAAACGTCATACATTCGTGTTCTACACAAATAAGCATCCCTAGCTGATTCAAGTGGTTAAAACCAGAATATAAAATTTCTTTAATTTCGTTTGACGAATGATAGCAACTCTCCCTCTCCTCCACTCTTTTTATCTACCTCCTAACTATTAACTAAAATTTATAAAAAATTTCAAAATCACTTAAGAGAAACATTAATTTAGGAGTGAAAAAGAATGAGATTAACAATTTTTACTTTTTGTAGTTTTCAATAAGCGTGTTAAAAAGAGTGCCTAAAGTGTCTTGCTAGCGTTTCACCGATTTACAGTAGCCAAAGCAATTTCAGACGCAAACTCTTAGACAGTCAAGTTCATTATACTCTCGACGAACGATCCGAAATTTCATGCAACGACTCTATATAATAGAGTCTACGCACAAGACTATGACAGAGAACCAAGAAATCAAGAAGGAAAGTTTCAACGAAGAATCGAGACACGGTAAAAGCGGTTACTGGCTCAAGGAAGATGTTGCCGTGAACATTGTCACGAATGTGCTTCAGGAATTTCCTTTCGAGAGAGATGGAGTCATTCGTGGAAACAGGAACAGCCATGGCGCGGTCAGTGGTAACAAAGTGAGTTAGAATATAGAGAGAACGAAAAAGGAGCACTGAAGCGATTTCTAGAGTCTGCTAGGGTTTGCAGCCGAGGAAGAAAAACTGAGAAGAAGCTAAAACACGTAGAAATGAAGAGATAAAGGAAGGGAAGTTTTATAGACATGGCAAATTTTTTGAAGGCGTGGTAATGGTAATGAAATGAACGTGAAATGATGCCGCCAAAAGGACGTTTATTCGTCACCCGAGTATTAGGCGCGTGTGCACGCGATCCTTATCTAGTTTGAAATGAAAGGCCTTTTTTGGAATATGTCAGGGATGGAAAGTCCAGGGAAATGAATTGGTTTTCCTTGTTCTTACGTGAGGAAAAAATTGGCACTAAATCTATTTTCGGTATAATTATATGAATTTTATAATTTTTCATAGTTTGATTATATTAAAAAGAAATAACTGGTCTGAAAGATATTAAAATTTTAACAAGTCAGAGAGAAAGTTAGAAGGATTTTTTATATATAATTTGTCTTCCTTATAATACTTCAGGAGTAGTAGTGTACTAATATTTTAATGAGAAAAAACGTTATTTTTTATGTTTTTATTGTATTAATAATCTCAGTTAATATTAATTTTAAATTATTAATAAGTATTTATTTATATTTTTATGACATATAAAAAATATAAGAACAATATTAATAATATATTTTACATTTAAATGTATAATTATCTATTAAAGAATTAATTTTTACTTTTTTAACATTTTAATCATGTTAAAATACTTAAAATTTTAGTAATTTTCGGTACTTTTCTCTACCTGTACTGTTTCATTTCATTCTTTTCTTAAATAAACCAAAAATTGTGTAATATTGTGCGTATCCCACTCTCGACTAACTTCAGTTGAGAGAAAAAAAAACAAACTAGTTAATTAAAGGATTAGAGAGCCTATATCAATGTATGAATTAATATTAAATTATTTTAATTTAATTAAAATTTTGAATTTAAGTATGTGATTATATTAATATTTGAAAAAAAAATTGCATATAATAATTTTATTTAATTTGAATGATATTATTTTTAGAAAAAAAAAAAGCTATTATTATTAACCAACAAAATAAAAAACACCTACTAGCTTGTCCTGCAAGTCACATATTTGCCGAGCAGTTGCCAGTGAGCAGCTTTTTAATATCTGCACCGCTTGAGAAATTTAAAAGTGAATGACATGACATTACACTGCAAACAAGCATTCATTTCTCGATATTCTTTTGATACTAACATTTTGTTTCAATAAAGCAAGAAAATATGAAAAAAAATATGCATTATTTAAATAAACAAAGAAAAAAAATAAGTTACATACAAATATTTTATTTTAATCTATTGTTTATGATTTTATTTTTTAATGTGATGTTACGAAGACATTCTTCCTTCTTTGTTTTGTCCTTTGAAATAATGGAATCAACAACCTGCAACGAAAGATTTGATTATTTTAAAATTATAAATTAATATAATAATTTTAATTAGATATATAATTTAAATTAATTTAAACATATGCTTTAGTCATTTTTAACGATTGAAAATTAATTTTATTTGGTTTTAAATGAAAATAACACAAGCATGCGCAATAGTAGTGTCCCATGTTTCGTGTGTTGGATGCTTCCTCCTTCAAGAGGATGTTTCAAACGGGTTAAAACTCTCTTCATTTTTTGTCTTTATTTTTTTTCTAATTATTAAAATTTTTACAAAATAAGTTTTGTTTTAAAATTATTAATGCTTTGAAAATTTTTAATGACCAAAATTTTGACTATTTCTTTTAAAAATAGACATTCTTTCCGATATTTTTATAAATACATTTTCATCTAGTCAGCGAACGAGCCGCAGAGTCGTTATTGGGGTAGTTTGTGAACATGTGGTTCGGCCACTTATATATTGTGTCAAATTTTAAAAAAATTATAAAATCTAAATATATAATATAATTGTTCTAAATTTCTTCTATATGCATGTTTCACTCATCCTTACTCAAAGAGTCAAAATTATGCCATTGGTCGAGTATAATGGAAAATATCAAGATTATTATTTATTAACTAACAGATCAGCTGGTAACTTTTGATCATAAATTTTAAAAATTTGTTTATCTTAAATAACTTATTTTAAAAAGACATTTAATAAAATAATGGATGTGTACCTGAATATCATTAGAATCAGATATATGTACGCAGTAGTATAGATGAGTGTGTTACATAGAAGGGAATGCTGCAATGAATGGACTGTAGCTACATGCCTACATCCCAATTAACTATTGCCAAAATTGAAAACCCCGCTAGCGAGTGAATGCATTAAAAAGAGAGAGTGAAAGAAAATTTAAAATTTTCAATATTTCTCTCAATACACCCTTTTTTTTTTTAATAAAGGTGTTTGCTATAATACTTTTAAATTTGAAACAACATACTCTCTTTAAATTTTATTAAAATGATAAAAAATATTTATGTTTTTTTCAAATACAACACTAATTTCACTATATACAAAAATATAAAATACTCTCTCCTTTTCAGATTACTATAGAATTTACCTTTAATAAAACATACTTTCAAACCCAACTATCAATTAATCCTACTGATGAAGTTAGTGTTGTGAGCCGCAGTAGGATAAGCCGCTTAAAGTAGTATAAGTTCTGAAAATTTTCACTTAATAGATTAATCTTTTGGCCTCTCCTTCGTGTCTTTAAATTATAATGGATTACACCATTGAGTTAGTGTCATAATAGTTGGTGTTTTATTAATTTAAAAGTAATTTTCTAGTAAAATATTTTGGAGCTGTGTGTTTAATTAGCCCTGTGCCTTGGAAAATAAAAGAAAAGAAAAGAAAAGAAAATTAAAAATTAATTTATCTAAATTTTTCTTTAAAGCTTTTTTATCAAAATTAATTATTTAAACATGTTTTAAAACAATAAAAGTTTAAAATTAGCAGAGTAAATTACAAAATATAACAGTTACAGACTTGTGTAAAACGGACGGAGTCAACTTTACTTTGCATCTTTCGAGGTACAAGTATGAAAAATGTTTGGTATAAAGGGAGTGTTTACATTCCTAGAAAAATAAGAATAAAAAAGAGAAAAGTGATAGAAAGATAAAATTAAAAGAGAGAAAAATGATATACTGGATGATACGATGAAATTTAAAAAATAGACAAAAATAATAAATAGTAAACAGGTATTGATACTATTTGACTTTTTAAAGTTGTATACAAGTTTTCGAAAAAAGAAGTCACTTTACAGCTCTTGGACTGGACTAATCGATTTATTTCAGAATTACCATGCGATTGCAGATTAAGTATACAGAGATGTGGATTGGCTTAATAATTAAAATAATACTTTTTTAAAAATTAATTACTAAAATAAAGTAAAAAGTAACTTATTTTTTATTTGGAGTAAATTTTTGCTACGTAAACAATGATTTTGTATTAATTCTAGAAGAAATCAAATTTTTTATTTTTAATTTAATAATTCCGCCCTACATATAGATAAAATAAATAAAAAAATTTAATTAAATTTTTTCACCTACAACACGTGGCCCAATAAGGATATTTTGTTCCTGAGCTAGACGTAAAGTTGATTTCATCTTATTCAAAGAGAAAACATCTTGATTAGGTCACGTGTTAGCGAAACAATGGTAACCGCTCCTCCCTCTTTCTTTCTCCTCCTCTGTGGTTGTAATTGCATTTCCTTCATTTTTTTTTTGTTTAGCAATCTTAGGTGATTTCTTTTTTATCGTTTTACCATGATTTGTGAGTGAACTTCGTCATCCATTGCAGAACTGTGTCTAGATTCACTTGGTTTGCAAGCAATGAAGGTATTTTTAGACTGAAATTTTGAGAAGGTTGGAAGAATGGTAACCTACTACACAGTTGTCGTTAACAAAGAAGATCAGTAGTAGGAGATCGCAGGAGAGATACTGCCATCCAGACAATTGGCCGCTATCCCTGAGAACTCTCAGTTGCTAGAAATCGCCACCTCCACTGTCAAAAATCTACCAAACAGGTTTTTTCCATTTTAAATATAATTATTTTGTATATTTTTTATAAATAGAAATACTTGTAATGTAATGTTTTGATTAAAAATTTTAAAATTTTATAAAAAATAAAAAAATTTATTGATGAGAAAATTTTTTATAGTAAAATTAATATTAAAAATTGAAATTTTATAACTAAATTTATTAAATTTTATGCTTGTAGAAAAAATCTTATAGTAATATTTAGATTAAAAATATAATCTAAATAATTTTGGTAACATAATCTAAATACAATCTATTAAAATAACAAATATAACTGGCCTTATTTATTTAAGTAATTAAAAAAAATATCTCAAATTTATCAATAATAAAGATATTTAACAAAATATACAAAATTTATAACTAACCTTATAAAGTGATCTTCCAAGTCTTTTAAGTATACTAAGCCTCTTTTCACTTCAATTTGGATCCGCAAAGATAAGATTATATACTTCAAATTTGCTGGAAATTTGGGTGTAGCGGCAGTGAATTGACAAAAATCCAAAGAAGGTTTTCCGGTACGTTCATCACAAAAAATTTCTAGATCCCAATAAACCTAATGCTAGATAGCCGCTAAAAAGCAGAAGCTCCACGAGTTAGTTACTCCTAAACGAGTCATGAAGGGTCAAGAACAGGGTCAGAGGGATAAAAAGCTGACAGCTTCATCTAAAATTGGGATGAATTTAACTATAACTAGATACTTATCATTGTCTCATAGTTTATCTTTATTAATGACAAATTTAACGTATTTTATCTCTTTGTTATACGAAACTATGCACACATAACGAGTTTTGCAGTATTTCGTCATGTTTTAGATGAATTGAATAAATAAAAAATATAAAAAATTAATTTCTTCTATATTAAATACAAAATACATGTTTATGTGGCAAAAATTTATCCTACATAAAGAATTAATTTGATTTTTAATTTATTTTAGTAATTATTTAAAAAAAAAATTATTTAAATCATTAAGCCAGAAACTAAGATGAGATCAAACAATATTTATATGCATATAATAAATGAAGAATATTACAAACAATAGTCAACTTAAAAAATCTCAAGTGGCACGTGACAATAGAATTGATTTCTAACAAGTCACAAACTGCTATTCCAAACTCAGAACACACACTTTGAAAGATTTTTCACCACCACCACTTTACCACAGAATCATCAAGGGTTTTTCATCTTTATTCTTAACTTTCGAGCAATCTGTGGTGCTTTGGGATGACTAGGCCTCTTGTTACTGTGGCACTGCTCTACCTCAACCCAGTTCATAACTTTAAGTAATAGAGACTGAGGAACTTTCTTAACATCCCCAGCTGAATCTTTTGTTTTCTTCAAACCAGTTTCCAAGGCCTTCTCAATGAACTCCATAAACCAATTTCCAGATTCGGTTTCAATTTGCCTTCCCAGTTTGATCGTATTGCTTAAGCTGCTGCATGATCCTGGTTTCTTGTTCTCATCATTTTCAACAATAGGTTCCAGTGGCATTTTGGAACCTTTCTTATCCAAAAGCTCCTTCTGGGTGGTACTGGATCTTAGGAGCTTCCCCATGTTTGTTTTGTTCTCGGGTTTTTCAGGAATTGTAGCCATTGACTTGTACAAAGCACACCTTCTTTTAGACAAGTTTGATTCAGAGTTCCCAGATTGGTCCATGCAATTGTCCATAACTTCATGTAAAACCTGAGATTCTTGTTTATCTGATTTCTGAGCCAAATCTGAAGCTATAGTAGCTGCTTGAATAGATATCATTTCATTAACTGCTTGTACAATATCGTTATGAAATTCCATAAACCGTTCAAAACAAGCTGCAGGAGCATCAGCTCTAGCTGACTTGCATAAATTTGAGAACATCCTGAACACCAAGAAGAAGAAGTTTCACATCAGTTGCTAGTTTTACCTTAGCAAAGATTAGTAGAATAGAATAGAACAAAAAGAAAAGAAATATACTTCAAGGACCGAACTACTGTCTCAGTAGCAGAAGCATCTCTTAATGCTTGAAGAGCAAGCTTTTGAGCCACCTCTCTTTGCTGCACAGCTTCCTGTCAAGCATACAACAAAATTGATTATAAGTACAAGTTTAACTTAACAGTTTTTTTTTTCAATCACACACAACAAAAAATGAAAAATGTTAATCTTAATACTTAGGCTACCTAGCAATTAATAAATGTAAGATTTTATTAAAAAAACATGTATTATATTTTTATGATTATTAATATATTAAAATCTGTTATATCTTTATAATTTTCAGTAAAAATTTAGCGTACATACATAAATTTAGACCGCATTCCTTAGACACATAAAAAAAAGGGGTTAATTTAATTATTGAAGAATGGAAGATATTTTAAAAATTAACCTTGCCAAGTGAGCTCAATTTTCCTGGTAAATTCATGGGGAGGCTAAGATTGTTGCAATCATCAAAAGCTGAATTAGTAGTAGACTGAGATTGCGGCTGCGAAGTGGAGTCCGAGTTTTGAATGTGAGCATCGCCAGAGGAAGTTGCCACTCTTGCATTTCTCAAACGCGGAGGTGGAGTCCCACTTTTCTTTTCCTGCACATGAAAAATCCCCACATAAACCATCACAAAAAATTGCATCATTGTTACACAAGCATTTTAAAACTGAAAGAGGAAAAAAAAAAGGAAAATGTACCTACAGCTGACTTGAAGGGACTAAAAGGAATCTTATTTTCACGTTCACAAACACTCTTACTCCTTGAAAACTTTGCATTAGAAGTTGTTACCAAGCAGCTTTTTCTAAGCAATGCAGGGCTTTCTCCTTTTGCGTCACTCATTTTTGATAGGAGCGCTCCACCAAGGGAGCACCGCACAGAAGAAACCGGAGTCATGTCTCTTCCAACTTTGCCTCTAATCAAAGGTGAGAAACTGGTATTATTCTTCACTTTCACAGGGGTACATTGGTCAAAGTCCAAATTAACGGGCTTGAAAGGCATAGGAGATGAAAGGGCATCAGCATTGGGCCCTGTTCCCCATGAACCTCTTCTGGGAGCCGAACTGGTCTTTTGTTTGAGGCCCAATAAAGGTTCGGGGGTTCCCACGAGAGGGTGTCTACCGGGAAGGGGTTTAGCGCCTTTGAGAACGGGAACCGGAGAACCCGGTTCTAAGCGGTCGACGTAGATGAATTGACCTAGCTGCATTTTGTTGCTGAGAACGACGTCGTCTTGGTCGGAGGGAAGGCTTACGTAGATGGAGTGTGAGGAATCGGAGACTTTGATGTAGAAGCCTTGTTTGGGAATGAGGTTTTTCTCGTCCAGATCGGCGGGGACAATGTCGGTGACCTGCAAGAGCGAGTTGCGGTGCTCGCTCGTGGGTTTCACTCCCGTCTTTAACCCGTTAAGGAGCTTCAGTAGAATTCCCGGTGCTAGGGTGGCCATGTTGCTGTTGGAACCTTTGAGAAATGGTGGGAGTGAAATTAAGGTGATGAATTAGGGAAAGGAATGCCAATGGCATAGAGTTTGTTGTCGGAATCAAGAAAGGAATGAAGAAGAAGAAGAAGAAACCTTGTATGTGTGTGTGTGGGGTTACTTCTGACTCTGTTTTTCCACGGCTGCGAAAGAAACAAATGGCCGTTGTAACGGGAAGTAGGGCCAACACTTTTCGAATTTCTTAACTTTCAGAACGTTGGGACTAACGGTCATATTTCGTGCGTCATGTTGCCAATGGCTTCCAAGGTGTAATTAAAAACCAGAAATAAAATAAGAAAATGATAGATTTACGAACAAATATTTTCATATAATTACGAAATATAAACTTTTATGATTATCTTCCATATAATTCAGTAAATAACATAAAGATTTTTTTAACCAGTGCAATATTATTTAGGATAAAGAAATATATAGGATAAATAATATTGTAGTATTAAATATTATTAATACATTGAATTATATTAATTTTTTAATTTTCAATAAAAAATTAATATATTTAACTCTTTATCTTAGACAATACTGTACAAATTAAACAAATCGTCTTTGCATGTTGTAATTCAATCATTAGTGATATGAAACATTTGTCTTAATAAATTACGATGCTAAATTAAAAAACAAATCTAATTTTGATGTACGTTAAGGTAATTTTTTCCAGTATCTTTGGTCATACTTATCATGTCTTAGAAAAAATTTACTGTACTATTATGGGGAGTGTAAAAACATTTTTAATAATGTTGTTATTAACTAAAATTGATTAAAAATTATAAAATTATGAATAAAATTTATTAAATTAGAATTAAAATACATACAATTTTTATTAATATTAATTTCATAATAAATAATTATTAGTAAAATTTTTCTAATTATTATTTCAAAAGTCAAAATATGACTTATCGGAATTGAATAAGCTTATAAAGTATATTTTCATTATCATGATTATGATATCATCATTATGAACAACTAGCAATACCCAAAAAACAAAATATGAGAATCTTTTAAGGAAGGACAGCCGAAGATATCTGGACACTTCTTTGCATATAGGTCAATGGCTCGTTTGATAGTAATAATATATTTTTTAATGGAAAAAAATTGCTTTGAAAAGCTTGATTTCCCTGATTGAAAGAAGATCAAGCTAAAATAAATCATGATCTTAATAGACTAAAATTTGTAAATATGTTGCTTATTTATGTTCTTTACAAATAAACTTGAATTTTCCTTTCAAAATTACTACTGTTTATTTCTTTTTAATGACATGATGATTCATGTTTAAGTGATAATATAAAAATATTTGTTTAAAAATAAAATTATTATAGACAACAAAATTCCTCGTCTAAATATTTAAAACAACATTCAATGAAATTTAAATTTGAGACCATAAATGGAACAACTCTCCACCAACTAGTATTAAAAAAATACTTTACATCTAGCATAAAAAAAATCAAAATCCTATATAAAATAGGTATCCATAGAAAAAGTAAGGAGAAAAATCTCATGCAAATACTGAGCTCCAAATAATAAATAAGTAAAGTCTATTTAAATGTGGTAGTTCCTACACCATTTATGGTCCTCTTTTTTTTTCCTCTCCTTATGTCTTTCTAGGTGTTATTAAATTAATAGTTTTTTTTTTGAAAATTAAACAAGGATTTTAAATAGATCACGAGGCTCGCCCCATAGTCTGACAGCAACAAGGAGCGTAAAGTTGGGAGACTGGGCCCACCATCGCATAGTAGATAAGAAAGGTTTCAGCTTAATTTTTTGAAGCCTAGAGAAGTATAGAATATTCCTATTTGGTATGAATGTTATTGGATAAATTTAAATGCGACAATTTCCTGAATAACCGTTTGTACCAAATCGCTAAGATTAATAAATATATGATGGAAAATAGTGTACCTTCAAATTTGAATTTGATGATTTTAATTATTGTCTACTTGATTTCAGGTGTCCACTACTATCACCTCAACTAATAATTCAAGCTAAAATTCGTGTGGAGCACCTAAAAACAAAAACATGGAAACATCCAGAGACTTAATAATTCAACACATTTCAACACCGTCAATAGAAAAACTTCAAACCAGACAATGATTAACTCTCTCTCTATATATATACATATATAAAGACACAGACAAGTCCGTCCAGTACAACTTTCTGTAGTCCACATATTAGTTGAAATTTGCCGTACACATGAAAACCAGTTTTAAATTCATCTTTTATAGAACCAAGTGTTCCTTTTATTGACCAAAGCTTACTGATGTTGTGCCAAAAAGCTATTCATTGCACATAAGTTTTGCAACATGAATAAGAATTTGAGATAGGTCCAATTTAGATGAATTTTTAGATAAATACTTATGAGGAAATCAAATAAAAAGATAAGATGGATAAAACATCTCTTATAAGTTAAAATTAACTTGTGCATTAACTTGAGGTATAGGAGTGGACAAATTACTTTCGTCACAGGCTTAAAGCCACATGAATCATATATTCACCTGGCTAGTAGATTCAAAAGGATGGTGATCATGGAGTTTGGGAATTTTACTATGCATGCCCGATGTATGAGATGCCATTATACATTTGGACCAAAAGAAATTCATAATAGTCACAGAATGATAAAAACAGGAGATAACATGACATAATAAAATTTTTAATTGAAGGTTCATGCAAAATAAAATCACTTAAAAAACTCGCATACATTTTACATGGAAAATTTTCCAGAATTGGAGGGTTAGTCATCAGGAATAGACTGGTCTTTCTGAAAGCTCGAACAGCAAAAACACCTTGTAAATGTCAGCATGACAACAGTGCACTTTGACAGTCTCAATAGGTAGAGAAAAATTAATCAAATTACATTATTAATCGCAGAACCTACTAGAAACAAGTATTGAAACAAAACCTGCACCTAATGGTATCTGGATGGTCTAAAAGCAAGATATCATTGGCCATGCTATAGAGGTGTAGCAAAACCTGTCACAATATAAAGTAAAAATGTAAGGGTCCTGTGGTATAAGAGGAGATTTCATAGATATCGCATTCGCAAGGTCCTGGTGACATTAAATTTTTATAATTAGATTCTGCAATCAAATTCATACAACAGCCATCCAGTGGTCATTAATAGTGCCAACTGGGTAGGTACTAACCCCAGGGGCGCTAGAAAATTAATACACCCAACACAAGCATGAAAAAAGCAACGTACATACCAATGAATAGAGAAACACGATATTGAACATATTCAAAATGACATTTTTTTCAACAAGGTTCCAGTGGAAGAATTCAAAATGCAATTCTGTTTGACTCTATTTTGGTTATTGAAGCTATGAAAGTATTATGATGATAGGCTGCATAAAAAGATTACAAAGTAACAACTTCTATTATTATCTTAAAAATTAGAAACTGATAAAGGGAAGCAAGAACTATTAAGCAAAAAGAATAAAAAAAGTATTCTTCCTTCAAACAGAAACAAGTAGGCATAATATTGGCCTCAATGTTATTTTATCAATAAACTCAATCCACATCTAACTAAATTCTATATCATATTGCCCTGGCTCAGTTTGAATGAAACATAACCAAACATTATAGCAAAACCCTTTTCGTAAGGGCAGTGTTAAGAACTTGTTTCAGAAAATAAAATTAGATTGAGGTGCAGCCTCCAGTATTGTTGCTGAACTTCTTTCATAATACACTCTTCATTTTGGCTTAGTTGTAAATTAGGGGAGCTACAAAACAATATGCAAGCCACTCCTCAACTAAGTCTTAATTAGTTAATTTAAGGAAAAATTATTTTAAAAGAATACCTCACACAATTCTCCACTCAGTCCATTTGAACACTAAAATTCTTGGAGCCTGTTTGGTCATGATTTTTCTTCAACACAAACTGGTGTTGGCACAATTTTCAAAAGTGTTTACAGGAGAATATACAGAGCTACTTTTCCCCCTTCATGCAAATGCACAAATACATTAAAATTGCCATTATGCCACAGGTGTTGATATGGATGTCCTCCTCAGCATTGGGACGAGCAATATAACACCATTTCTAGGGTCACAGCTTTACTTAGCAAGCAAAAGTGTATCTCCCAATTCTCATCCAGTTTTCCTCGTGCCATTAAATTGATTCCATAAACTCACTTTGATTAATGTTAGTTTGACCAACTCTTTTAGAATCAATTTTTACCTATTTGTCACTCCATTTGCCTGAACCTATCAGGGACACAGCATAAAAATAATACTTGAAGTGTCCCTTTGTTCTCCCATGCATGATGTAACCTTAATAGTACAAAGAAAAATACTTTCATAACACATAACATGCCAAAGATCACTCCCACTTCACTGCTCTCTGTCACAAAGAACAGTAAGTCTTGTTACAAATTACAAAATGTACAAAAGAATATTTTTCTTGAAGGAAAATTAAAATGGTTATGTTTGGCTGATCACTACACTATCTTATAACTGCAATTCCAAAACAAATAAAATTGCAAGGTATCATCATGCCTGTTCTTTATTACATTTTTTCCCATGTTGTAATCCACACATTAACAAATGCAAGCATGCAAACAAAGCACAATAAAAGTTGGGGGTAGGAGAAAACATTAGACATGCCAATTATTGACTTAACAATTCTATTCAACAACAAATAGTGCTATTACATCCACTCGAAGCAAAATAGAAAATTTATAAATGGTAGAAAATATGAGATGTTTAGGGTTTTTGACTGAGCTCAATAACATTGTGTGATTTATGTACTCAACCTTTCTTAATGAGATAAGATTTGGTTGTTGGTACACTATGCACCTAAGAAGCAAGGACACTTCTAAACTACAGCTATGTCATGCCATAACCGTGGCAAACATGTATTCATGTTAGACACTTCAAATTTTATAAACTTTTATGTCAATACAAATTGGATATCACAATAATTAGAGAGAACTTAGCATTTAATTATGTTTACAAAGACAGCTGCTCACTTTTAAAACATAAATTGTCCGTCGCGATAAAAGAAAAGTCATTTTATGTTATACCTATATGAATTTTACGCGTTATATTATAACCGTGTCATATCCTATGATTTTCATTTCATTTCAATCGTCAATACCATACTTTAAAATGTGAATAAAAGTGTGGACTGACAATTGAAATGAAATGGAAAATAAATATTTTTGATAAATTTATAGTGAATGATACCTTCTGAAAGGCAACCCCAGTTGGTATTGTGCAAAGAGAGGAGAGAAGTGAACAAAGCAGAGGCAGTAACACTATGAAGCGGGGTCAAAGATACTTGTGCACCAGCCAACTGTACCGGAACCCTAAAGATAAACAACAACAATTATTCACTTCAAATGCGTACAAAAAAATTTGTCTGAAGGCGATGATGAAGTGAAATTTACCGGGAAAACGAGAGTGCGCGTTTGTGCGGAGAAGAAAGCCCGTTGAAGTTGGTGGCATAGGAAGAAGAGACAGAGGGAGGTGAAGATCGACGAGAGAATAGGGTTCTCGTAGAAGACGAAGCTAATTGCAGGGTTTTCCTTCCCCAGTTGGCCGCCATCGCTATGCTCTGCACCAAAGCTGCTCACTTTTTTTCCACTGAGAATGGAATCTCTTATGGGCTGGGTCTCATCAAATGGATATGGATTCTACAGTCCAAAGCCAGAATAGGCCTTTTTGCTACTGTTCTTGGGCCAAATTCCACCACAAAATAAAATGATAAATATATTGTGCCAATGCAAGGTAGGTCATGTGCGTGCTTGATTAGCATTAGCACAATACAATTGAACTATATATAAGTCAAAGTTAATTAAAGATAACTTAATGTAAAATCTTAGGACATTTTTTACGGTAAAAAAAAAAAGCGTAGGACAATTTTTATTGGGATGAAAGAAGATGATCAATACTGGCCTTATATTATATTCTATATAGATGATATTCCACTGTAATTGTCACGTGTCATTTTGCATGTATGCTGGATTTAGATAGGTAGTTGTAGCATGTGATGAGATTTTGTCATTTCTTCCCTCATCAGTACTAAATCACTCATTTACAGCGACATAGCATTATGGCAACTAGCAAATAGTAACAGCTTTGCTTGCCTTATAGGTAACTGCTATTTATGGTTGCCAAGTCCCTGAATTTTCACGACGCTTTTGGTGGGTTAAGTTTTATTACATATATATAATGTAAAATATAGTTGCAATAAGTATCATGAAGGCTACCCATGTATATGTTACAGTGTTTTCTGCAAGCTTGTAATTAAGTGATGGAGAGTTGATACTCAGTCTATGAAGGCTTATATATATATATATATATATATATATATATATATATATATATATATATTAACAATATTATTTATAATTTGTGTCAAATCTAGTTTACAGATTTTTAAACTTATTTTTGAAAACATGCTAAGTAACATTTAAGCTCGCTTGGACTTTGACTTGACCTTGGGTAACCTTTTCTGTGATGCCACCGTCGAACTGTCAATTGAAGTCAGTTTGGTACTGGTTTAACTCAACCCAGGGAAGGTTTTGTAGTTTTATAAGAAAAGGGAATAGGATCAGACCAACCAATCTCACACTTGTGGTGACGATTCATCATCATGTAAACCACAAAAATTTCACCTTTCTCTATCTGCTTTACCTTGCTGGGTCATTGATGATTGACATTGTTCTCGTGCTAGTTCTAGTGCTCGAAACTATAGTGTAAAGGCATAAAAGCCAAACTAAAACATCAAGAAATTCACAGATTAGTCAAAATTAAGAGATCCTACAAATTTGATGATACGCATATAAACTGAAGTTAGCATTCATTTTGCCATAATTTTATGTAAAACAACTGGGCTTCTGAGGTTAAACTGTTGTTTATCAAATATTCAAATATAAAAATCTGCATGTTACGTACCAAACACAAAAGGAGAGTTTGTGCTGTAGTTTGTATGAAAGTTATGGATATAAAGCAGTTATTTGTTATTGAAACCGGTGACTTGCACAGTATTACCCGAGCTAAGTGTGAGTCTCTGTTTGTGCGCTGCACGAAACTAGGTTTGGGAGATAAAATTTTATCAAAGGAAAAAAAAAAAACATTGCTTTCAAACAACCAGAGCTGAGTCATTTCAATTCTTCTAGAAATTCAAATGATTCCCCATAAACTAGCACCCACCTTTAGGTCATTGTGTTGGTTAATTTATAGACCAGTTTGGATTCTGGTATTTTGAAACCTTAGAAGTTTCTCAGCATGCCAACATTTTTTATGGTGTTTTGTCTGACATGTTGTCCATTTTTCTTCCTCTGTGTACTCGAAGAAACTGATCAAATTTTCTTGGAGAGGGAATTGGGACAAAGGATTAGTTTACTTTATTCCTATTTTGATTGTCCTGCAACAAAAATTCAATCAAATTTAATTACTTACACTTTATTGGCAGACCCTAAAATATATAAAAATAAATTTATATAACTTTTCTCAATTCAAAATTAATTTAAATATACTATTGAGCACGCGTATTGATTAATGTGAAATTATTTTAGTTTTAACTTGTAACTTTGGTTTTAAATATTAAGAAATGTAAATATATTAAATAATTTAAAAATTTGTAGTCCTGAATATAGGTGAAGTCACCTCGTACAATGCTCCTGTTTGGAGAAGTGTTTGTAGGGTAAAATAATAATGAGTTTGAACAAAGCCATTACTCTGGTACCTAGGTCTTTTTGTATTTACATGAAAATATTGTAGATGGTGGGTTTGTTTGGGTACCTAGCGAATAGCGATTGAATGCAAAGCCCATTAGTTCCATATCTGATAGATTCGTCAATAATACCCTTGAATCATTTCCCTTTCCCTTTTTTATTTCTGGTTGTTTTTCTAACATGTGAAGGTTAAGCTATTTTTTTTTTCTGTCTTCCCCTACTGGGTGGGTCACTAACCTCAGTTTGTGTCGACTGTTTCAATTTTCAACCAAATCTTAACGCAAGGTTGACACATTCCCAAATCCCAACAGAAACAGTGAATCACCTAACCAAGCTCCAATTTGATGACTGTCAATTTCACTGAAAATGATAAATAAGAAAAGAAAAGTTGAAGGAGATGCAATGCCATCATGTGTTTTTAGTTGAAAAACATTGTGCCTGAGAGAGATGAATTTGTTGGGTGGCCATAAGGAATCCAAAGACGAAAGGATTCTATCAATGAGTTCAGCGAAAAATCACAAAAGTAAAAGCTTGTTACTACATATTAAGTTGGACAGATAAAAATGGATACATAAAGGGAGAGGATGAAATAGAATGATTTGTTGATTGTTCTTTTTTGAATTGTTGTGTGAAATTTGTTACATCCTATTTTGTTTGATCCAATGTGTTGTCAAACCTTACACTCGAAACCTCTGCCGGTGATAGCATCATATTCCGCATAATGAGGAAGATTAGACCGTAAAATCCATTAATTCCCTAGGTGTAGCCTTGGACAAAAAAATCAGGACAAATCGGAGTTGTCATTTAGTCAAAATGTGTCAATAGACATGAAAATTGCTACTCAAGAACATATGAATGTAATTGCCAGAGTCACTCAAAATGTCTAGGATTACCTGCTTTGTGGGAAGGTCCACATAAAATAGCCATTCAACTTTGTCCAAGATCGAATGAGGATGAAACATACAGTAAAAAATCGATTACTTGTTTTATGCTAAAGATGTGCCACTTAAATCCAAAGCTAAATTCAATTTTTTTTAAGAATTTTGTTAATCTCGACTCTAAAGGCAGAAAATAAGTAACTAATAATAATAGTAAAATTTTATTAAAAAAATATTTATTATATTTTTATACATCTAATATAATAACTGTGTATTTTTTCATAATTTTTTATTTATTTATAAATATTTAAAATAAATCTTAAAGATTAAAGTTAACAAAAAAAATTTTTTTAATGCTTTCACACAATCTTTTATTGACGATTTTTTTTTTTGCATTTTCATTTTTTCATTTGAAAATTTAATTACGGAATAAATAAAGAGTACTTTTGTTTTGAAATTTATTTTTCAGAATATATTTAATTATTTTCTAGAATTAAATTTAAAAAATAATATAAAAATCACTTCCTAGATTTAATTTTTGAAAATAACTAAAAAAACTCAAAGGAGATGCATAGAACAAATGGGAGTGTAAAAAGAAATTTCCTCTTTTAGCATATTCAATCGTCTTTTTTTTTATTATATTTTCTGTCGATATCATATTCAGTTAAATGATTCGCAATTTTTGATGGGCCACCTGTGAAAAGTGAGAGAAAAATTCAGTGGGTGAGATGGTCAAAGCCATGTGAACCGAAAGTGGATAGTGGTTCGGGCTTACAGAGTTTCCATTCCTTCAACGGTTCTCTTAGCACGATTAATGCATTTGAAGCAATCAACGTACAACGTTGTTGGTTTATTATCAGTTATATAAAATTCTAGATGGTTTTTCAATTGCAATGAAGTGTTCTACCCAAGGTTAATTACTACCAACGTAACGAGTATTAAGAATTTGATTGTAACACCAAATTAAAGTTAAATCATCATTTGAGATGGTGATTGAGAAACTTAAGAACGTATCAAGTGGGGGAGAGGATGCATTTTAGGATGATCATAAATATTTTTATAACTTTAATATATATGTACTTTTTTTATAAATTTTTTTATTTATAGGTGCTTAAATTCAGCCCTAAAGATTGAAGTTAACAAAACTTTATCGCAAAATAAGACACTTACATATTTTTCAAAGCATGTATTAAAATTCATACTTCTAAATAATAGTTCTTGATAATAACGCAGTTCAACATATGAATATCTTATTAAAGATTAGTGAGATGTGACACACCAGCATCCTTTATACCATCGGCAATCGTTGCTCAATTCTGTAGTTAAACATGTGGTCATTGCCAATTTGGAATTATTTGAACCAGAGCTATTGCTGAGGAGAATGCTTGAAGAATATTAATATTATTTGTCATTTTAGATATTTGTTGAAGATGCAAAAATTGTCACAATACATTATTTTGGGAGTGTCTGCAGATAAAGCCATGTCGTCAAGACAAAAGTTATGGGATCATGCAATAACTACAGCATTAATTCTCTGCTGGATGTGAGCCAACTGCTACCATATTGAGACCACAATAAATTTGCCCATCACTTATTCCTGTCAATAAATTCACTTATTTTAAAGTTCTTGTTAAATCAATGATTCCTGATATAATTATATAGAAGTTGAGAGAGAACAATCTTATATACTAATGTACATTTGTTTTATGTACATTTTTATGACTTGCTTTTTTTATTAAACAAGTCTGTTTCAAATCAACTTTTGATGCAAAATTCACAGGGTTTATCAGATCAAGGAACCCAAAACAATAAGACAACTGCTCTGGTAGGGAAATCATCGATTTATTGACATGCTAATGCCCCAAAATTGTGGTTAGGTGGCTTCTAGCTTGAAATTTTCCGTAGCGTATGATGTATGGTACAAAATATAGGAAGGGGTTGTCCAGTTAAAGGGGTTCCAATTCCTAGCTACCAAATTTATGGTATGGGTTTCTGCCCACTATTTTTTTCAGTGGTCCATTGCACTGATGATGGTACATGTTAGTAGATGAGTAATAGAACTCCTTAATAGTAGACAACTTAATTAAGGAATACGGTGAGGTTGACAACAGAAGCCATGCACCTACTACCAAGATCAATCTTGTAGCTCAAAATTGCTGTGTCCAACAAGCTCTTGATCCTGAAAACTAAAATAACCAAACGTGTCAAGGCATACACGTTGTCCTTCCTCTAAGCTCCAAGCCACTTCAATTGTGTAAATCGGTCCCCATATAAAATTGGAGCCTTTGCACACGGGAAACTGCAGTGTTTGTGAAGTATCATTACTGTGCCATGCCCACCTATCTACCCAAAAGAGTTGAATGATTAATGTACACTTTTTTTTTTCATACCTGAACTATTATTTTAGTTGTTGCATAGACCGCTCATTGATTATGAATGACAAAGTTAGGTTAATGTGTTTAATTTATTCCTTGGGGTTTGCACTTTGTTTAAAGCTGTATGTTATCCTCAGGCAGCTGCATTAATGCTTAGTGTAAATTTGTAGCGGGGGCAGTTGAAGCATTACTGGATTCTTTATCAATCAATCCTGCTCTGTAATTATTTAAAATAGTTTATGAATAATTTATAATTCTCCTAAGTTTTCAGTTTATTTTAATAAATTATTTAGTATAACTTATTAAAATAAGTTATTTCAGCTTATTCCAATAAATTATATCACTAAATTTATTATGTAAGTCATTATTTAAAAACAATATTTTATTAAATAAGTAGTTAAAAAAGCAGTTATCTAAATAAACCTCGTTGAAATTCAACATCAAGGCAAATTACAATTCTTTTTAGATAATGTTTTTTTATTGGTTTTATTAACTAGTGCCGTTAAGAAATTGGTTAGAAAATTAATAAACAATAAGATCTTATCAAAAATCATATTAAAGATACATTAAAAATTTTGTAAGTGAATATTCTATTATGTTTTCTAATAAAAATATTATTTTTATTATTTAATCAGGGTCATTTGAATTACCTATCTATGCAGAGTGCAGATAAGTTAACAGTTTAATGCTGATATCGCCTAATTCAGAGCTACAATAGATTAAATATATTGGATAGACAATTATTTTTTATATAAAATTAATGAAAATGGTAACTAAAGGATAATTTTCTTTTCTACCTAAAAATTTTGAGATGAGCATAGAACCAAAGGTACTTGCTTCATGATTTCGTCCCCGGTGCACCTAACCCACAATACCATTTTATTTTTTTTTCAAAATTCGTAAATAAAAAGAAAAGCCTCTCCAGAAACAAGTTTATGGTAGAAATATATAATTGGCAAAAATCTGGTTTAGTAACTATTAAGTAAAATTTGCTGATTCAAGACAAGATTGAGCTTCTTTATTCTAGAGCAGCATTAGCTATAGGTTATTTGATGGTATTGAGTTATTATCTTTATTAAAGTGCATTGAAATATTTTGCTTTCTATTGTACTTAACGGTCTTAAACATATTAACGGTCAATTTGAAATGAAAGGTTTAGATTTACTGGTTTTTTCAAATCGGCACCAATTTAGCATCCTATTCTTCTTGCCTTTAATCAAACACCCAAATGATTCTCTGTCATGCATCGATTATCCACTTTGTGAAGTTAAATTTTTAATCACGTTGCCGTTGTGCTTTCGCTTTCATCGTTGCACATGCATATTGTATTGAATAAGTGACCCAGTTCAGAGTTCAAACTACTACACTAGCAAGTCAAGATATGGGAGTGTCACCCTAAAAACTTATGCTTAATAAATATACCGATTGCAGAGAAAGCTTACATTTGTTTGGAATGCCCATATAGCTTTTTTAAAAAAATATGTGTGTATTGATATATGTTAATGGATTTTAGAAAAATATTGATGTAGTACATATCATCAGAACAATAACCCATAAATAAAAGCAAATTATGAGATGACCTTCTAGCAGCATTGATAAAGAATCATTGGATAATTGGAATCTATGCAACTAGTGATAAACAAAAGGTCAGGTTAGAGTAGTTAACAGTGAGATCGATCCTTCATATTATTGCAATAATTAGCATATATGAGAAGTTGAGTCAAAGGCCGAAATAAAGTTTTGCCGGCCCCAGATAATGAAAAAGCATAAAACAAAAGGCAACGTTTAAGTTTCAAAAGATAAAAGGGTTCCACCTTTCGGAGTTAGCACATTATCGCCGCAGCATGTTTTCACTTGAAGTTCATTTTCATATAGACGGGTCTTTTGGGGGGGACATAAGGGCCCCAAAACGAAATTTTTTTGTGGAAATTGCATGCACATATACTTGAAAGATGGAAAGAGGGTGTTTGGTGTATTGGTATCGTTATAAGATACCAATCATACCATGATCATACACATTAGATGTTAATGTTCGATGAAGTACCGAACTCATGGGAAATTGGGGGTGCAAGGAATCCAATAATTCCACAATTTTCGGTATCCCATGACTACTATCTGTTGTGAATAAATTCCCATGATAACATCAAGCATTATAAATTAACGAGAGAAAGTAGTTTCTTACCAACTGATTTAATATTAAGAACTCAATAACTCTACAATTTTCGGTATGCCACATTGAACCACTACACCGTGAATCATTTTTTTAAAATTAATGTCAAGCATTATAAATGATAGAAAATAATATCTTACTAACTGATATAAATAATTACCATAGTTAATTTTCTTGCTTCAATTTCCTAAAGGGGAAGTTGGGCAGGAGCTGTTAGGATTTATAAGGGCCAGACATTGCGTTAAGGCATGGTCTGATTCAGTATGTAATCATTGTCCGAGGGAGATGCTCGAGTGCTCTGTTCTAACATCATTGACATCATGAGTTCAAAATGGATCTGATCATGCTTCCTAGTTTCCTTTCCTATTGTCGTGAAGAACAATTTACAAGAACACTTTCCAAATCTGTTACGCACATGATGGACCAATCAGTATATTATTGCCCTTATTATAGCATCTTTGTCTAAATAACATTTTGTAGTTGAAGTTATTTGTGAAGAATTTACTCTTTGTTACTAAAATCATTTTTGTCTAAAAAGTCCACTTGGTATGATAATCATAAAACATATAACGAGAATTACTAGTTCAACTATCATCGATGAGAGTCTGCTTCTCCTTTGAATAATTAAAAAATATGCTAGTTTAATCAAGAATGTACTATTATTAAAGGGAAAAATAAAGAAAAACAAACAAGTGATTAGACATTTTGTTGAAAGACAACAAAATGAGCAATTTATCCTGTATTTTTGAGTTGATCATAGAAGTGAAGGCAAGGTGAATGGACACACTTTGATTATTTATATACATTTATTTTACTCATATTTGGACATTGGCCAACAATAGCTGCCCCGTGAACTTGCAGAGACCAATACAAGAGCATGTTTTGGGTGGTTTAAGGACCACCTCATCCTTTAGTTCACATGGCTTTGTATATATGTGGAAAATCCAATTGCGCGTCCCTCTAATTGTTCTCCCCCTCTAAAATTTATCAACATGCAGAATCTGGATCATGTTTATTTTTGTCTCGTCATGGAGTGTTCTAGTGTGTTCTAATCAATGCCCCCATTGTATAATAATTGAACCAACACAATCACAAGCCAAACTCAAACAGTAGCACCTAGCGAAAATCGATCAGCCAAAGACCAAATTCAAAATTGGTATTTAAAAGCCACTTACATATAAATAATAACAACATTAATCTTCATATAAAATATACCTTCTTCCAAATGTAGTAAAGCCATACCTTAAACTTTTCTATCAAAACTAAAAATTCAACCAAAAAAAATTACATTACTTAATTTAAAATTAAAAACAAATTGCTCTCGCGGCTGCTAAATTTTCTTAGCAGAACAGAAGCGGTTTAATTTAATTTAACTTTAATTTCCTATAGACCCCCGATCGTGTGATTATTCTCAATCAGCAATGGTCCAGGTCATGTCGTTCTCGAAGATCCAATGACAAACCTCGATCCGACCCGGACCAGACCCGAGAGAAAGAAAAGCTCCATGGGTGGGACTCCAATCCGAGGTGTCCAAGTGACAGATGGCAACACCGTGATTAATCTTGGCCTTAGTTTTCGGGTCAAGTAGATCCGCTTCGTAAACTCGAACCTTAGGAACGGAGTGGCAGTAATAGAGCAAGTAGGGGAACAAACTCTGGTGGCAGGACACGGATTGGGTAACTTTCCCACCGTTAATTCCTCTAACATGGCCCACCATGACCTTGTTCTTGGACCCGTTTAGGTTCTGGGTGGTCCGAACCGCAATGTTTCGGCCCAAAACAGAGGTTGCAAAGTCGATCATGTCCTCCAGCGAGCCAATGCAGCGCTTGGTCTCGCCGCGGCTTGGGACTCTCTCACACTCTTGCAATGAATCCCTCATCATACTTTCCATGGATCCATTGTCCGAAGCCTTGAACACTTGCTTCAACTCGTTCATCTTCGACGAGGAAAAGGGTAGTTTCGACAAAATGCTCCGTGGTAAAAAGGACCTTTTCGGCATTTTATCTCTAATGTCAGGCATGGGCATCACCGTCCCTTCCTTCATCATCTTCTCTCTGAAAAATTTACCCGGTTCAACCCACTTATTTACGAAACTGCCACTCACTGTTTTCGAAGCGCTTAGGGTGGTGCTCACGTTGGTGTACTTGGCGAACGAGACACCCTCTTTTGCGTACTCTTTGAAAGTGTTGTTAACGCCGTAGGAAGTGAAACCCACCTTTGTTTCTCCGTTGGAGCCTTTGGCGTAGCTTGTGAATGTGTCGGTTCCTTCGTTGAAGGATTTGCCGTAGGTGTTAAAACCCACTTTGGCGGCGTTGGAGGATTTTGCGTAGGAGGTGAAGGAATCGGCGCCGACGTTCGCCTTGTCGCGGTAATTCGAGAAACTCTCGGTAGCGCCGTTGCCGCCGGCGGCGTAGTTGGAGAATGTGTTGGTGGGGTTGTTCATGTTGATGCCGTAGCCTTTGAAAGTGTCGTTAGCGGCGTTTGAAGTTTCGGCGTAATTGGAGAAGCCGGAGCCGACAACGTTGGAGTCTGTTCCGTAGGATGAGAAATCGTTGGTTGGGCCGTTACCGTTTTTGCCGTACGAGGTGAACGATTGTTCGCCGGCATTGCCATTTTCCGAGTAAGAAGAGAAGGATTGGGTCCTTCCGTTGCCGTTGTCGGAGTAGGAGGTGAACTGGAGGTTCGGCACGTTGGTGTCACCTGAATAGTGCTTGAACTCGCCGGCGCCGCCGGTGGCTCCAGCGGCGTAGGTGTGGAAGCTCTGGTCCACTACGTTCCCTTCAGTGCCGTAGTTGGCGAAACTATCCTTGTGTCCTGCTGAATCGCGGCTGTATCTCCGGAAATCGTTCACCGGAATGTTCTCTCCCTCGGAGTAGTTTTTGAACGAGTCAACCCCACCGGGTCGACCCGTTCCGTAGTTGGTAAAGTTCTTGTCGCGGTACACTGCGAAGTTCGCGTCTTTGTCGTGCTTCTCGAGGCTGGGTCCCACTGCCCGGAAACAGAGGAGTTTCGCGGCGGAGCAGAATTCCGGCAGGCGCGTGGAGAGAGTGTTGCTGGATGCGAGCTTGGCGAACGCCGCCGCGTCGACGGCACTCAGCGGCGAGGCCTTTGACAGAAGGAAGGGTGGTTTGGGCAAGCCGTTGCGGATCTCCTTGTCCCAATAGCGAATCGCGAAGGCTTTTGGCGTGAAGGGGTTTTTGTCTCCGGCCACCGCGTCGCTGTCGGCGAAACCCACCTGCATTGAATGAACATCCATTTCAGAACCGAGAGTGGGAAGCGTGAAACAATTGGAAAAATTGAGACTTGCAACATTGACAGTGAAGAAAAGCTGTGCTTACATTGAGAGATGAGGCGAGGATAAAGAGACAGAGAAGGGTGAGTTGTTCGTTCATATTATCTTTACTTGTTCTTTTTTTTTTTTTTTGGTTTCGGAGAAAAGTGAATGGAGAGAAGGGTGTAAGAGATTGAGAATGTTGGTGGATTTGTTGAGTTGTATGCAGAAATTTATATTATGTGGAGTGAGAATGAGAGTGAGAGGAGTGTGTGTGTTTGTATTTGAAGGATGTGATTTTAGATTGGGCCTTCAATTCTCCATCCACCTTTGTGTGAATGCTGAAAAGTGAGAGCTTCCTGCAATGTGCATTCACAAAAAAGAATACTATTAATTTGGTGTTAATATTAAATTAATGATGATTAATTAATGTAATTATAATGCATGAACTGGGAAGAGAGAAGGAACAACTACAATCCGTGTAAAACAAAACTAAGTGAACTAAACAAGTCAGAGGGTAAGGTAGATACCAGAGAGTAAATAGAAACAAGTACAATAAGTCAATAACGACGATGGAGTCATAAAATTAGAGTGAGAAATTGAATTTTTCATAGCATGGAACTTGGTGGATGGAGGATGCACCTTGATATGCTCCACAGTTTGCATGAACCATACACATGGGGATAGTGGCGTATTTATAGCCCTTGAAAATCCAAATGACGCGCATTCTAATTATCAATGCAATCTACACCTTAAGAAATTTAGGAATGTGGATGAATTCTCTTTTTCTAGCCATCACTGAAAATATACCCCAATTTTAAAATATTATTAAGAAAAACAAAAGGTTAGATAGTGTAGACACATCACTACATCAGTACATTGTCAACTATGGGCCACCAGCAGAAAACTTTACAGCATCTCATACAATTATAATACATTCTTAATTAACAAGTAACTTCCAGTTATATTTACGACCAACCAAATTGAGCTATATTGCACTTACTACAGTAAAATTGCCTATCATAAGCACTCACATAATGGCAACAGTAAAAATGGAATACATCCCCTCGCTTGACAAAGAAAAAGGTACTAAAGAGTGTATTATTATTAATATATTTTTCTTTAAAAATTAAACACAAGTATACACTTAAAACAAGTATCGATCATTCTGAAGTATTATTAGATAGGTGAAGTTGTTAACATGCGGAATTGTTTTTTAATCATAGACGTTGGATTGTTAAGAGTTTTATATTGAATAAAATAATAAGCATTTTAGTGTTTTTTCAATCAATATACAAAAACCATCTGAGTTTTATCTTACTATATTAAGTTGGTCTATCCTCATTTATATAAATCATGGCATTGTTATTCATTCCAAAATCATAAAAACAGATTGTTATGATAAAAAAATTTAAGAGTTTAATTTTAATATATTGTTATTGTATAAATTTTATACTGTTAACTAATTAAAATACACAATTACTTTACATTATTTAATACAAAAATTTATAATTTTTATTAACATGACAATGACATGTAAAAAAAAGTTTTAAAAAGACTTTTGAGTTATGTTATTCTTTATGAAAAGTCAAATTAGCCTTAAAAAATAACTATATTAAATAGAATTTTATTAATTTCAGCTCTTATGATTAAATTTAAACATTAATAGCAGTAAAATTTTATTGGGAAAGAATACACTTATTACATTAAATATAATAATATTTTTTAATAAAAAATTATTTTTAAATACTTAATATCAACCTTATAAACTGAGAATAACATCTTTTTATTAAATAAGTAAACTAATTTCAAAAAATATTGTAATAAAATCCGTCAAAATTCATACAGTTAAACCTCCGTTAAATGTTTAAGTTGACAATTTTTATGTGACAAAGCGATAACTTTTTTCCTTAAGTTCCTAATTCTTGTTTCTTTTCAGAAATTTATTTTTCCCAAAACATTGATCTCAAATTTTCAAGCTTGGTTTGGCAATTTTTTTTCATGTTTTAGTAATCTTTCAAATCACTAGTATGGCTTACAAATGGTTTCTAAGGGGACATGTAGTTTTAAATTCGTGCTATTTTCATTCATCTATGAAATACTACCACAGTAATATTTTTTTTTCACAAATATTCTTAGATATTTAGTAGGGGTTACTTGCTTTCATGAATAAGACCTGTTAACATAAATAATAATAACACAAAATCCAATATCTTCTTTATAGAAACCTTTTCTCACAAAATTGCTTGCTCACTAGTAGATTTCTATATTTAATGCTGTACTTTACATCTGTTGCTTTTAAGGGTGTTAGCTCTTCGATTAGATGTATATTTAATTTTATATTTTGACAAGTGGCATTCTATATGTTATTAACAAGTGTGAAATTATTTGAAAAGTAAGGTAATTTACTTCTTCTTTTTTTCACTTCTAACTATCAATGTTTATAAAATTTTAGTTTAAGCAATTATTTAATCACGACAAGCTATCTTATATAATAATAAAAACTGAATTTTAAAAGAATAATATAAAAAAAAGTTAAAATGATAGAATAAAGAAAGTTAAAATAAATGGGTAATTACGCAAAAAAGACATAATAAAAAGTAATTATATTCGCAATAATATTAAAGTAGCAAGTTAAAAAGGATGATAGAAAATTAATAAGAAAAATAGATAATATAACTTTTAATCTAATAAAAAATTATAAAAATACTTATATAAATTTTTTAAAAATAAAAAAATAATAAATAAACAATATATCGGAAGATTTTATTTTTAACTAAGTACAACAATGTTATATAATCTATATAAATGACCTCATTTAATAAGCTGAAACTTAATTATTATAATTTAACTATTCATTTATGTAATTAAAATAATGTACAATACTTGTTTACATTGCATTCTTTCACCCTTCTCCCCTTCCTTCATTTTAATTTAAGTTATTAATAATTTATATTTATTAATTATCTACTTGATTTATTCAAGATTACTCTTATGTTGTTTTTCTAAAAGTATGATATAAAATTTTATAAAAAAATATTCTGTTAAGTTTTCAATGTCATATAGTATAGTATTTTTGTAATAAAGGCAATACCATATTAATATAATATAAATTATAATATAATATAATATTACTTAGATATTTATGTTATATGATAATTAATACAAATAACCTTTATATAAAATAGTATTAATCATTATGTTTTAATTCTTTACTAAGATCTCTTTATTATTAACTCTTAAAATTCAAACTATTAAAATAAATGATAGAATATATTATATTAAATTATTTTGTTTTCCTTATATTAAAATGATGATTTATATATAATAAATAAATATTAAAATAAAAAATAATTTATGCATTAAGCAGTTACCTACTAACTATAAATAAAATCTATTTCAATTACATATAGAATGAGGAAGAAAATTAGTTACAAAATAATTAATTTGAGTCAATTTCAATTTCTAACTTACACTTAAAAAAATAACTTCTCGACTCATATTATGCATACATATTTATTTATGTTATTATAGTTATTGTTATTATTGCCGCATTACTAACACTAATCTCTTTATTGATCTTAATACAATGATTATTGAAACAATCACCTTATATTTATCGTTATTAATACTATAATCAATTTTACCATTATCATCACCACAATTACTATTACTATTATAATTATATTATTTGTAATCATTATTTTATCTCTGTCACCGGTATCAATATACTCTCTATCGATACTATAGTGAAGAATTTTGTATTAGAGTAGGCAATGCATTCCCTCACCTTAAAAAAAAAATATATAAGTGATAAATTATTAGTTATATTTTTCACCTTTTGTTTTTGTAATTTTAAACTCACAAAAATTCAAATTCAATTATATTTATATTTATTTGAAATGAATTTTTTATTTTCATAATTTTAAACTTATTAATTCCAATTTTAATTATATATTTAAACTTATTAAAATTAGGCCCAAACAAACTTTTCTATTTTAATTTTAAGCTTGTCTTGAAAGTCTGTGCCGCACGCATTCATAGATATTCTTTATTTCTCTTATACTTTCTTATGCTTACATGCACTGTTTCCTTTATTTCCCATAATAACTTGGAAAGACAATGAAAAAACCATATTACTTAATACGTATTGCTTCTGATTTTTCACTGTAGTTCTCTATTTACTTTTTCACGTGTAAATGCAGTGGTTTATTTAAATTTTCATATGAATTAAAATTTTATATATTATCTTTGTATTAAAATAATAATAATAATAATTTGTTATTAAATTGTTCTCATTAAACTAAAACTCTAAATATATCATTCACCGTAACTATTATAATTTCTAACGTCACTTTTATCTACAATTGACACTATTAACTACCATAACATTATAATTACTGTGTCCTCTCGTATCATTATTTTCACCCTCATCCATTATCATAGTTATTTTTAAACTTTAAATTTTACATCTACACAAAAAATTTGAATTGAATTTAGATTACTAGTTCTATGTCTAATTATTTGCATCATCCAAACATAAATATATAATTCTACAAAATTTATAATATAGCAAGTATAAATTTAAAATAAAATTTAGACTATAAATATTTCGTTATCCAAACATACCTAACTAAGTTGACTAAATTCCTTGAACAAGTTCATAAAAAAGGTAAAAAATGTATAAACATATTTCTGTTCAAATTATCATGGGCAGAAAATCATAAGAAAAACTGAATCCAATTGTCAATTATTTCCATTGGAAATGGAATTGACTGCATATTTACAATAGCACAAAATTTCATAAAATCAGTACAATTTTCCAAATTTAAATAAAGCAAAATTTCCATGAAATGTTTTTGGGTCAGCACATTCTAATTATGGGGAGGAGAAGAACCCGATCACATTACAGTCCTCTATGCTATCAAGTCGCCCTACTTGAACTCTACTTGTAACCTACAAAGAACCAAATTGGAGTAAAAATTATTTAACCATCCAATCAAACCTAACATTGCCGTGGCTGCTTGGCCTTCAAGTGCTCAATCCAAATTAACACTAATTTTTTTTATGTCATATTATTATATATAGAAAGGAAAACGAGTCATCTCAATAATAGAGGTCACAGAGGGTTAGCATGAAGGAGTAAAGTTAGTCACTCCATCTCATTCCGCAGTCACATCACAGCGATTAAGTCATAATGACTAGTCGTAACTATTTTTTATTTCTTGGTGTCATAACTTATATGAAATCGTTATTCATACTCGTGACATGAATTAGTGCACCCTGTAAAAATGTATTTAGACGATCACTCTATCACAATCTCCATCATCTTGAGAATATGGCTTAAACAAAAGCAAAATAAATAAAAAATATTACCAATAACAACAGCAAAAATATTAAAATGTTAATCTTAATCTCTCAACAATATAAAATAATTTGATTTTAAAAATTAAAGCAATGGATATTAAAATTGATAATTCTCATACCCTATTTTATGAAATGCAGTTGGAGGTAAAAGACAGGCATGGTCTTACGTCCATCTTTGCAGCACGTGGCACTCAATGATTGGTGACACGTCAAGTTTATTATAAAATTTAACGCGTTTAGCCGCTAATGATTTTGTTTTGTAATTACTCCCTTTTCGT